GGCATTCACCGCCCAGAGAAGAGACACGGGATGCTGGTAGCCAACTTCCACCGTTCAGGAACCAGCTGAGGGGTGACCAAACATCCCACTCTGCGACACTGCAGATCCCCACCGATGTCTGCAACTGGAAAGGGATTTTTCCTTCCAGGGCACGGCACCGCCTCGCACAGCACAGGGGAAGTTCAGCTTCCGCTGCAGCATCGACTACCGGCAAAAACCAGAAGTCGACTTAGACCCGACAGACGGCAGTGGTCTGCCCCCGCCTGCCACGTCACGCGGCGAAGTGCTGCGGCCCGGCCTCAACCTGTTACGGCACAACCGAAAGAGGCAACCACGGCGTGGCACGGAGCCTCCCCAACCCGCCCCCCCCCCCCCCAGAACCGTCCCGTGCCGACCAACACGCGGTCCTTTTCACCGCTGACAGCAACTACCAGGACGTACTAAAACTTCTCTTATGTTGCAAGGTTAGCTTGAACTGGTTACTCCACCCAGACCTCCTTGCCAATTTTCTCCTTTGTCATCAGAGACCGTATTTAATCCAGCAGGAATGCGCCTTGGTTCAAACCCGTGTAGTCACAGACCCGAGGCCAGCGCGTGTCCCTTGAACTTCGGTGCGTGCAGTGGTTTATTTTTGTGCCAGAAGCTCCCCATCACAAGCACCATCGCTCTGCCTCAGGATTTCTCAACATGATGGTCCCGACTCCATCACGCGAGGCCTTTGCGTTCAGACTGTCTCCGGGCAGCACGAATTCCTCCACGCTGAGAAGAAATGAAGGCTGGGAGCCGCCCAACGACCCTCACATCCTTCTGCAAACCCACCTTCGCTCCATCAAGGCTGCATACAAATCGCTCCCAGGCCTTCCTCCTCTCCTCAGCTGAGCCCTGCAGCCCACGCACGCAGCCCTCAGCCTGCTGAAAACGTTCAAGCGTGGTTTACGGGGCCGGGAAGGCCGGCCACCCTTGTGTTAATGGAAGCTGCTTGTTTTGCTGCTGAAACAGACTCTTTAAAAGCCAAGCCCAAGTGTGCCCACACGCCTGTTGCCGCAGCCCTCCAACGGGTTTTCTCCCACATAGCTCCGCTGCTGCCGTACAGCAACAGAGCAGCTCCCTGCAAAACCACAGCGGGGTTTTCGGGAGATCCTGCAGAATACCAAGCCCTTGCTATTCAACCCCTAGTCCTCCTAAACACTTTAGAAAGCCTCAGAAGTTACGCGCAAAGGGAAAAAATACAAAACAAAACAAAACATTAAATTTGGTGTTTCAACCCTGGCTAAAGGACCAGCCCTTGCCTAGAAGCACAGTGTGTATAGAAGGGGAAGGTTTCTTTTTCAACACGGAAGTCCTGGAGACACCGAGATCCATGCTGAAATAAGCTGCCAATATTTCAAAAAGGCAACATTCATCCCCTCCACCAAAGGGAGCACCCGAAGAGTCGAAGCCACCTCCAGCATTAACTCACTGCTTGGCAAAGCACGAGGGCAGAGCGGGGGCTGCGGGGCCACCGGCATGTCCCAGCTGCTCAAGGCTGGATGAAAATGAGAACTTCGGCGGGTCGTATTTTTTACACCCTCCTCCCCTTCTGAGACCAGGCATGACCACAGACCAGGAAGAGGCCAAATCCCGTGCTCCCCACTCCAGCCAAAATCCCCCCAAGTCACCAATGGCATTTTCCCCGAGAAAGGCCGACAGCATCTGTCCCCTTTGCACCACGATCCCCCTCCCTGTCGCAGCTTCTCTCCATCTCCTAAACCGAGAGAACCATAAAAACTGCTCAAATCCCCAATCCCCCCATTCCCACAGCCCTCATCCATTTCCTGACCTGCTCCCTCAACGCCCAGCTCTCCAGCTCAGCTCCCCCTGAGCCCCAAAATCAACCCGTCCCTCTCCCACTTCACAGCCATGTCACAGGTTCCCCTTTGCAGCCTCCGCGTCCTCCCCCTCCGACAAGCCTGACGTTTCCTGCCCTGCTCCCCCTGCCTTCGACGTCAGAGGTCTAGCATTAATCTGATTGCCTCAAACGGCACCTCGAAGACCAGTGTTTTTTCCACACCAGGAAGAGGGGGGGGGGAAAAAAAAAAATAGGAAAAAAGAGTAAGATTGGAGTTTACTGACAAAGCAGAGCATACCAGGCAGGGCACTCCCTTATGTAATTCCTAATTTGTGGATAAACAGACAGCTCGTCTCGCCGTTCTCGACTCCACGCGACGTGCAAAAGTGAATCCCGAGAGCAAGCAGCATGCCACGCGCTTCATCCCTGCCAGTGCTGTCCTGCCATGAAGCGTTTTTCCTCCCCTCCTCAGCACACGACCGGGCAGTGTGGGGCTGAAGGGAGGGAACGCTGAACCGGTACCGCATGTACTCTGCCTGTTGGGGCAAGAGGCTCCGAGTAACTAGAGAGCAGCAACCTGTAGCTACAAGCCTACTTTCAATGCCTGCCCAGCTTTGTGTTGGGTAGGCACTCAAGCAAACAAAAAAAAAAAAAAAACAAAAAAAAAAAAGAAATCTACTTACTGGTTTCCAGTTTGCCGGTGGGAAATAAATAGGTGCACGAACCAGGAAGGAAATAAAGTGCACAACTGCAGTTTAACAGCAGGCAAGAGGGAGTTAAAATGCAGCGCTGGGATGCTTGGGAGCATCCTCTGCTGTGAAAAAAAGCAGGGCAGCAGTCCTTCCCGCAGCAGGGAGAAGATCTCACGCAGTTTCAGATGGGCATTACAGAACCACAGGGGTGGAAAGCAGGAGGAAAACAGTCCCGAAGGTGCTAACCCTTCACAGGCAAAGAAACCACCCAGCAAGCACCGGTGCCGTGCGTTTCTGCCCAGGGCCCCGCACCCCGGGAGGGCACACGATCCGTGCACGGCTTCGAAGAGATCGGCAAAAAAGTATTTGAGACAGCGAGGCTGTCGTCAGGGAGATCACGCTCCTGCCAGTCCGGCTGTACGCATTTTTTAAGGGGTCGGCGAAGCACCGGTGTTGGAAAGTCGCTGATTGCCAGGGGATCTGCAGCTCATCTCACCGACGTGGCCTTGGCTCCCACCTGCAGCCACAGGGCAGCTCGCACCAGTTTCCAGTTTCTCGCACCTTGTCACATTAAGAGAAGACGCTGATCCCTATAGTTTCCTTCCACCTGCAGCCCGGGGGCTGCTGCCTGAGATCTCACAGGAAGATTTACAAGTCCCTCAGACGACAGGGTTTTGGGGGGGGGGTGGGGGTGGGGAAGAAGCCCCACTGCAATTTGAGGAACGGAATGACTTTTGCTCCGTTTGCACCCTGAAAGTCGCGGCCGGACTCTGCTACAGGAGCCAGCAATGACACCGGGGAGGCAGGGAAACTGAAACTATGCGCGGAGGGAAGACGATACGGCCAGGGAGCTGGGCGAGAAACAATTGTCCCTGGATACTTGCGGAGGATCCCGACGCTTGTCTGACCTCATTTACTCCCGCTCTGATGTCCTATTGGAGCTCCTCCGGCACCGGCGGGATGCTCCAGGAACAGGTATCGGGATGGACACATGGCTAACCGGCTCGCACCGATCGGGAGGCAGCACCGAACACAAACATGCACCAGTTTGGATCAAAGGGTCATGGGACTGGGTACAAACGCTTCTCTTCATCCTAGACACTGACTGTCTTTCTCCCTTTCCCCGAGTTTTGCTCGTCAAAAGGCTTTTAATTACAGATTGAAACCAGTCTCCTCAAATTTGAGGTTAAGGCTAGTTGAGAGCATAGTTAAGAGCAACTGTTTATTGCTTTGACTATGCAAGATAACGAGAAGGATTCTAATTGTTTGCCACAGAAGTCTTCTCTTTCAATAAACGCAGCATCCCGCGACTGGGAAAACACCCTCAAGTGTCAGTTTTAATCAAGATTAAACCACAGTTCTCAAGCATTTAGGCTTCATCTCAAATGCAGACCAGGAATTTCACAGCCCCCCCCCCCCAATTTTTAGGTTGGACACCTGCAGGGAACTCAATTCTGTAGAGTTACGACCCAGCACTTTATCCGCCAAATGAGGTTGCGAGTAAGACAGTCAGTGCAACTAAACCGTCGCACCGCCTTGATATAAGCATAAATTTCTTCCCTTATTTGCGTCCCATGCCGACATCTAGATTCTCACGCCGGGAAAACAACTGTAATTTAAAATTCTGCTTTAAAAGTCACCAAACACAAAGCGAACCCACCGCATTCACCGTGCCAAATGAATTCCACCCAGCCGCGGCTGGCCCAGCACCTCTACAAAGCAGAGCTCCTTATTAAGCCCGTGACACGGCTGAAGATCATCAGCAGACCCACCACCACAATGCAACAAGATGCATATATGAGCAAAAAATAAATAAAATGAAATAAAAGCATAAGAAGAATTGCAGATCAGCAGAAAATGACAAACTGCTTTCATTCACCACCAAATTTATTAAGAGCTCATGCCTTGCAAAACCCTCCCTGAGTTACTAACGCAATTAAGGCTTGGTGGAAAAATCCCACCATCTCACCCATGTTTGGGTTGCGCCTCTTCACTCCCTCTTTCACCAGAACAAGCCTAAACAGGGGCCAGAATGAATATTAAACAAGAATGGCTCCTCTCTAATAAACTGCTCAGTTTCTCTCGGTCTCTTTTTTTTTTTTTTTTTCTAAAGAGTTGTTTAAATACAACATCTCCAGCAAACCATCAGAATTGAGCCAGCCCATCTCTTCCTGATCAACCTCTAGAAGTGCCCACATACTGAAGTTTCCAACCAGGACCAGCAGAAACATTCAGAAATAAAGCATTCCCTTAAAAAAAGAAACACCAACACTTTAAAATGACGGGATGACCTTTTAGCTCCGCTGCTACGCTGCACACAACTTCAACCCTCATTAGGTTGTAAATTCTTCCAGGCAGAGACCTTCTCTACCCATGTCTGTAAAGTACTTATTATATAAGTTATGGTTTCAATAGCCAAGACAATTAACAGCACGGGGAACGTAGCTAATCTTGAACTCAGACCAGCAACAAACTCTTACCAAGAGTCCTTGAGCAGAAACTTTTGCTGCCCAGCCTCCTGCAGCCCTGCAAGTCAAAGGGTCTCCAGAAGCTGAGAACATGGGAGAGCCAGGCGAGGCACAAGCAGTCACGTTGGTTGTAGGTGCAGGACAGGAACTGTTGCTTTCGACGTATGAACGCCGGGATTTAAAAGTTCTGGTAAGAGGAAGCCCCAGGTGCTGGCAGTCCCGCTCCAGGTTTGGGTCCGAGGGCTTTTCCCACACTACTGAAACAACGCAAGGAACGAAGCCCTTTCCCCAGGCAGCAATCAGCTCGCCTCCACCGTCAGACCACGGTCACCGCAGCCGTCTGCCCGTGACTTTCGCCTCCTGCCATCAGCCTCCCAAACGCAGCCGCTCCTGGGGGAGCTGGCTTAGCTCTAATCTCGGGGGGCGGGAGGGGGGCTCCGGGTACCCGAAGCAGAAGCTCGCTTTCCAACCCCTTCCCTCCAACTCAGAAACCCCGAGATCGGGGGACGGTGAAGACAAGGAAGCGGCACAACCCTGGCCAAGCAGAGAGGCCTCCCCTTTGCTGTGGGCAAGAGATGCTGCCCCTCATGTCAACCTCGGCAGCAACCCGCCGGCCTTCGCGCCCAGGTCCGGCGGCGGCGAGAGGCTTATCCTGCGCGGCTCTCCCAGGGCAGCCCCGTACGCAGGGCCCAGCCGACAGCTTCCAGGGCCCCAGCCACCGAAGGGGAGGGCGGGGGGATTATCACCGCGAACCGCCGCCCTCTCCCCCCCGCTCTGGGCACGGGGGTGGGTGCGGAGCCGGCCGGGGGGAGATAAGGAAGGGGGGGGTGGGAGGGGGGTGGAAAATAAAAAAATAAACCGCACAGAGCAAAGGCAGGGCCAGCCAGCAGGCCTCCCCCAGGCCGGCTCCCCGCTGGGACGACCTTGGGGTGCTCGGGGACAGGACGGGGGGGAGCCCCCGCGGGGGAGGGAGGGAGGGAGCGGCGCGGCCCGGCGCCCCCGCACGGGTCGAGCCCCGCCGCGGCCGGGCTGGCAGGACGGACGGACGGACGGACGCCCCGGGGGACCCCACCCAGCAGCCAGCCAGCCAGCCAGCCACCCCCCCCCTCCTCCTCCTCCTCCCCCCTTCCCTGCCTCGCCGGGTCGGGCCGGGCCGCCCCCCCCCCCCCCCCCCCTCCGCGGCCCGCTGGCGGCGGGGCCCACAGGGAGCCTTGGCCGGGCGCCACGACCCCACCCCTTCCCCCGGGCGGGCCGCCGCCAACGGAGGCCGGGCGGGGGAGGGGGCGGGGGGCGCCGGGGAGAGGTCCCGGCCCCTCGGCCACCGCCCGCGCTCCCCCGGGCAGGGGCAGGGCCGGGGCCGGGGGCGCGGGCCCAGCCGGGGTGGAGGGGGGGGGGGGGGGGGGGGGGGCAGCGCAGGCCCCGCCGCGCCTCTGTCCCTCGGCCACCCCGCACCCCACCGCGTCGCCCGCCATTGGGCCCAGGCGGGCGAAACGGGGCGGAGGGGCGCGCCCCGATTGGCCCCGCCCGCTGCCCATCAACGTCGCCTCCCCACTCGCCGCACGCGCGGGGCGGCGCGGGAAACGGAGTCCGCGCGCCCCCTCGCACCTGCGGGGCGGCGCGGGCGCGGGACTACAACTCCCAGGAGTCCCCGCGCCGAGGGCACCCCTCCCCTCCCCGCACGGCCCTTCCCCCCCCGCACCCCCCCCCCCTCCGCGACCCCCCCCAGCACGGCCCGGCCAAGTACAACGTATGCAGGCGGGGGGGGGGGGAGGGGGGGGCAGCTGCCCTGGCACGGCCCGGCCCCCCCCGGCGCACAAACCCCCTCGACCCCCCTCTCCACCCCCAGCACTGCCCCCTGAGTGGGGGGGGGGGGGTCGGGCCTTCAATCCCCCCCCCCCTCCAGGCCCGACCCCTGCCCGCCGCGTCCCCCCCTCCCCCGCCGCGTTTCCCCCCCCCCCCCCCTCCCCGTACCGGGCGGGGGCCGAGCGGTCCGAGCGAGCGGAGCGGGCCGCGCCGTGCCGAGCCGGGCCGGGCCGAGCCGTGCGGGCGGGCGGAGCAGGCTCTGGCCGCCCCGCGGGAGCTGCTCGCCGAGGCCCGTATGCGGCTCCTTCCTGCTCCGGCCGGGGCCGCCCCGCTCTTAAAGGGGCCGCGCGCCGCCCCCCCACCCCCCGCCCGCCCCCCCCCCCCGCCTCGGGGCGCAGCCTCCCAGCTTTGAGAAGGGGGGGGGGGGGGGGAGGCGCCCCCCTCACAGCGCTCGGCTTCTCTCTGGGGGAGGGCGGGGGCGAGGGGCCCCTTTAAGAGCCCCCACGGCCCCCCCCCCACCCCGCGCTGCGTGGGCCGCTCCTCGCGCCCCCGGCACCCGTGTCACCGCGTCCCGCCCCCCCGCGGGTCACCCCATGGCGCACCTTCCCCCCCCCGCCCTTGTCACCCCACAGGGCACCCCTCCGCACCCCCAGACCCACCCGTGTCACCTCATAAGCCACCGCCCCCTCCCCCACCCCCCGGCGTGTCACCCCACACAGCACCACCCCACGACCCCAAACCCACCCGGGTCACCCCACAGAGCACCTCTCTGTGTCCCCCCCGCCCCCCCCATCACCCTGTGTCACCCCTCCTCCTGCCCCCCAGCATCCCCCCACTGTCCCCTGACACCCCGCCCCCATCTCCCCCGCCCCCGCCCCCCCCCCACGCTGGGAAGGGGACACAAAGCTCTGCCCAAGGTCACCAGTGGGCTGGGAGCCAACCCGGCAGGGACAGGGGACAGGACAAACCCGCCTGAGCCACCACCTCCAGTCCCTGCCCCGGGCAGGGGGGGACACGACAACAGTGACCCACCCGCAACCAGAGCACCAGCTCTCCTTCTCGATACCCACCATTCCGCTCCAGAGTGAACGGCTCCTTAAGGCCAGGTTCCTGCAGGTTACTGGGTTCATCTGTGTGGAACGCCGGCTGCCGTGGGGCACCCAGGCGCAGCAAGATTTTAGGGAAAATTTTGAATTAGTAATAATTTTAAAAAAAATAATAATAATTAAAAGAAGAGAAAGAACAAGCTTTGATCAACAGACACCCCCCGGGGTTCCCAGGGGCTGCTGCTCTGCAGGCCAGCACCCCTGGGATTTCCCCATTTCTCCCCTTTTTTTGCCTTAAATAACCCCACTCAGCTCCTCCCAGGGGCACCAAGGGCTTCACCCACAGCATTCACCCTGCGACCACCCCCCCCCCCCAGGGGGTGGTGCTGGCATTAACCCCACTGCGCAGGTGGGGAAACTGAGGCAGGGCAGGGAAACCCGGCTGTAAGTGGGGAATGAGGGGACCCTGGGCCCTGGGGAGGGGGACACACACAGGGTGGGGGTGGGGGGGCGCCCAGGCTGCACCCAGGGCCGGGCCCCGCCATGCGCCCGCAGCCACACGCTCACCGGCTGCTTTCGCTTTCCCCCACTGTGGGCGGGGGCACAGCCACAGGGCCCACCCTCCCCCCCCCACCCTAAAATCCCTCCCCACGCCGGGGCCACCCCCAAAACCACCTGCCACACAAACATGGAGAGCACCCACCTGCGTCAGGGAGGGGGCAGGACCCCCAAACACCCCCACATCTTGTTCCAGAGAAGTGGGGGTCAGGGTGCCCCCTTCCTTCCCCCCTGCACCCCCAAAACCCTGCTGTACACCCCCCCCCCCAATTCTCAACCAACAGCACCAAAACCTGACGCAGCTCCCATGGGTGGAACGAGTTTATCCTGGTCTCTGCAGGTCCCCAGGGGACCCCAAAGCACCACAAGCAGCAAAAGCAGGACGCTCCCCCCCCACCCACCCACCAAAAAAAGTGCCACCACAGCAGCTTTGCATCAGGGACCCTGGGGGGGTGAGGGCACAGTACCAAGGCAGGTGCCCCCAGTGTCACCTCCCCAGAGCCCTGACATCGCTAGTGGCACAAGAACTCTGTAAAATAAAGTTATTTTTCAATTCTGGGCCTGATTTTGATTTTGCCGGGGCTGGCAGAGCCCGGCTTCACCTCTCCCTGCTTCTTTTCACCCCAAATATTTTAGAGTCGATCCCGGCTCCCCTGGGGCAGGATTTAGGGCATCGCACCATCCTCAGACCCCACATCTGCTGCGGCCAGGGCTGCCTCATGCCAAGATCATTCTGTTAGCGCCTGCTTCCGCCGGAGGCAGCCGAAGGGCAGCGCGGCCGGAGCCGCCGGCACATCCCGGCACGGCCGGGACAGCGCTGGTGGCATCGCTGCTGTCCAGGGAGGACCCGTCAGGGTTCCAGCTCTGCAGGGGTTAAAGCCACTTGGGGCACAACCAAGAAGAGAAAAGGCCTGTAAATGTAAAATGCCTTTTTTTTTTTTTTTTTTTTTTTTCCATGATGAAAATATCGTGTTTAAAAAAAAAAAATAAAAGTTGCACCAACAAAACGCTCGACACGCTTTCTCCTCCTCCTCCTCCAAAACCCAGCACCAAAACCAACTGAAAATATCCTAAAGCTTTATGAACCGTCCCCTTCCCACCTCCCACTTGATTTAAGAGGCAAAAAAAACATAACGATGAGCATCCCTGTGGCCTTGGGGTGCCTTGCCCGGGTATGAGCTGAGCCAGTGAGCACTGACACCCCCAACCCCCCAAATCTGGGGTCTCCCCCCTCGTTCAGTTTGACTTGGGGGGGGGGGGACACGGCTGCCCTCGGCAGGGCAGTGCCTTCATCATTTGCCAAGGAAGGAAGGGGAAAGAAAAGAATACAAGGGGTTTGGGGTTACTGAGTGATGGTGTTTGCTTTTGGGGGGGCTGTCATGGTGGGACTAGAGCACAGGCAGAGGGGATGTCAGCCACTGGTCCAATGGGGAAAAAAAAAAAAAGAAAATAATAGCCTGAAAAGAAGGAAAACACATCCTCAAAAAAATCCCACCGAGCTTCCAAACATCATCACCTCCTCGGGGGGGGGGTGCAGAGCCCTGCATGGGGGGAGCAGGAACGAGTCACCCAGAAACACACGTGGTGGAAAAAAAAGGTGATGGGGGGAGCTGCCACCCCCCACCGCGCCCAATCCGGCCACCGCACCGGCGCTCAGCCCTTGCAGCCGCAGCCCCCGCCGGCCCCAGGGGGTCTGGAATGATCCTTCCCGGGGAAGGAGGGGACCATAAACCATGATCAGGTGGCTTTTGGAAAAAAAACCCATGGCTTGGGGACAACGCAGGTCTTGGGGAGGGGGGGGGGGGTTTCCCCCCCACCTCCCTGCAACGCCCTGTCCGGGCACCCCCCACCTCCCAGCCCAGGGGCTCCGACCAGGAGCCCTGGGGCTCCGCTACAGCCGCGAGGGTCAAGAGGTGGAAAACCTGCAGCCGGGGGGGAAGCGTTTCACCCTTCCCCATCCCCAGGAGACGGTGGGCTCAGGAGAGGGACCCCCGGCCGGGCTCCGGCGGGTAACCGGGCTCTGCCTCCCACATCTCTGCGCTGGAAGGGGCCAGGGAAGGAGAGCCCGTGCTCTCCCCTCGCCTCAGCACCTAAAGGTGCAAGCCCCGGCTCACAGGGGTCCCACAGGGGCTGCTCACGCACCCACCCCCCCCAGCTCCCACCCGCTGCCAGCCAAGAGCTCAACCTGCGCTCAACAGGTCAAAACCCTTCACTAAATACCCAGTGCGCGAGGAGAACAGGCTTTAGAACAACCGTTTCAAAAGAAAACAAAGAAAATACAAATCTCTCCTCCACCTGCAGACAGGCCACTGCTCTGCTCTTCTCCAGCTCAGCCATAAATCATCCCACAAGCTCACCCATATTGGCCAAGCACCCACCTCGTCCCCAGCTGCCCCGGGCGGGATGGTGACAGTTTTGGGCCACTCTAAACGGGGTTTCTCCATTCCCGGCCCAACTGATTCTTCCACCCTGGAGCCCACGTGAAAACCAGGGAGGAGGTGAAGCATCTGCGATCAGCCCTTCATCTCCATCCCCTGCCACCATCTCATACACACATGCAAGCGTGCACACACACAATTATTTTCTTTTTTTTTTTTTTTTTTAACCCAAGTGAACATGTTTCAAAAAAAAAAAAAAAAAAAAAAAAAAAGAGAGAGAGAAAAATTAACATAAGCAGCACCACATTTCCCAAGTGTCAGGAGCTCCAGAGCTGGAGCAGAGGCCTGGAACACCCCCACATCAAAAGAAACCAACCCCACTTTGGCTGGGGGGGGGTCAGCCGATAAAGACGCTTCCGAGGGGATGGTGCTTTGCCGCTGGGACGTGAGGCGAGAGGGGGCCGGGGAGAAGGAAGGAGGGCAGTTCGGTCATTTACTGAAGGAGAGGAAATGGTGACAGAGGCAGATGTACTGACACCAGGCGGTCGGCTCGGCCCTCACACGGCAGCGCGGGTGGGTGTGCTGGGCTGGTTCAACCGCAGGGTTTTGCACAGCCAGCCGGCAAAATCCACCTCCTCCACTTCGGAGCGTTTGATGAAGGTGTGACTCTGAAAGCGAAGGGAAACAGGGTTAGGTGTGTCTTCAGCTGCTCCCCAAATCCAGCTTCAGCCCCGTGCCGGACCCTGGAGAGGTGACAAGATCCTGGTGCTACAGCTCGGGTTGTTCTCGGGCCATAAAAGCAGATTTTGAGAAAGTGTTTGTTCCTTGCAGCCCTGTGGTTGGGATTTTAATCCGTGCTGGCCACGTCGTCACCACACGGGCACGGGAGCAAGGAAGACTTAGAGCAGAGCCTGCATGGCCCCTGTCTGTGAGCAGCTCAAAATGCTGCTCTGAACGGGCAGGGCAGGGCAAGGTGCTGCAGCTCCTGCACGCCCCACGGCCCTCATTTGCCCCTGGATGGCAAATCCTGCTCTCCCAGGGGCAGGAGGTAATGCAGAAGCAAGGCAGGACAGGACAAACTTCACACAAGGGCATGGGGCCACAAGGACACAGGCCACCTCCTTTGCCAAGGCTACGTGGGAGCACCCACACGTAGCTCAGGGGCTCAGCATGATGCTGAGGAGGAAAGCAGAGGTCAGCATGGTGAAGCTGGGCTCATGGCATGGTTGGGAGGGACCTTAAAGATTATCCAGTCCCACCCCCTCGCCACGGGGATGGGGGACGACACCTTCCCCTAGACCAGGCTGCACCCAGCCCCGTCCAACCTGGCCTTGAACCCTTCCAGGGAGGGGGGCAGCCACAGCTTCTCTGAGCAACCTGTGCCAGCGCCTCACCACCCCCACAGTAAAAAATCTCTTTATATCTAATCTAAATTTACCCTCTTTCAGTTTAAAGCCATTATCCCTTATCCTGTCACTACATGCCCTTGTAAAAAGTCCCTCCCCACCTTTCCTGCCCCCCCTTTAAGCCCTGGGAGGCCGCTCGAAGGGCTCCCCGGAGCCTTCTCTTCTCCAGGCTGACCCCCCCCAACTCTCTTAGCCTGGCCTCCCAGGGGAGCTGCTCCAGCCCTCTGAGTATCTTCATGGCTTGAGCAGGCCCAGGTCTGTCTTATGCTGAGGGACTCAGCACTGGACACAGTTCTGCAGGTAGAATCTCACCACAGCAGAGCAGAATCACCTCCCTCGACCTGCTGGCCACGCCGCTTTTGAGGATACAGTTGTCCTTCTGGGCTGTGAGCACACACTGCTGGCCATACATCCATACTGAGCTCACATATTAATATTCATTTGCCCACCTCAGGAGGCAAAGGTTTGTCCCAGGCACCTCAACAGATGCAGGACAGTCGGGTGGTTCCCATCCCGGGTGAGATACCATCACTGCCTTTGAATCAAAGGTGAGTGAGTCACAGTCACTCCCTCTCCCAGGCTCTATTTGGCTCATCTTAAGCTCAGCCTGGGAGTTTCCAGCCTTTTGAGCAAGAGAGGCACAGGACGGGGCAGCAGTTTGCAGATCTGGTGCCACCCCATTGTAGAAAGAAAATTGCTCTCCCCCACTTACCATCAGCATCTTCAGATCTGCCCGTTCTGCTGGATTTTTAATTAAGCTGAAATGAGAAGAACAAGAGAGCAAAAGTAACGTTGAGACGTTTCTTGTGGGAAACCAGTTATCTGGCTGGAGAGATCCCCAGCTTCACTGAAAGCCACTTGGCCTCCTGGCTGCTTTCCCCAGGTGCCTGGCAGCACGGAGGCAGCACAGAAAGCATCATCTCCAACAACCCAGCTCCTGGGGAGAGCTGCAAGATCCGTCTCTTCTAGACCACGTGGATGAACCGTGCCCTGCAAATGGAGAAAAGGACCTAACGCTTGGCAGGGATAAATGATTTCTGTCATGTCCAATCTCTGCGATTTAATGGGAGCTGCAGCAGCGTCTTCGGGTGTCCCCCCGCCGCATCAGAAGATCTGGAAGTCGGTGGTATACGCCTGGTGCCTGCAAGGCTGTGGGGTGACTCACAGCCCCAGCAATCTGCTCCACCAGCCCCCTGCCAGGCTCATATTTAGAAGGTGCTGGGATACTGCTAAGCATCACCACAAATAAACTGCTTTTCTTCCAACCCTTCCCAAGTTCTCAGCACAATGCGGGATCGCACTGCAGCCAAGGAGAGATCACCTATAGAGCATGGAGAACATTGCGTTATGCTGAGTATTTTGGGTGGAGCAGCAGGCTGCAGAGCTGTCGGGCATAGAGACTTCCACCTTCAGCCATAAGATAAAATCCTTACCATTTATTTACAAACTCCTGGAAATCTTGCGTGAAAACTCCATTCGGCAGCTTGGGAGGTGGCTGCAGAGAAAAGGAGAAGGGTTTTCTGCATCACTGCGCGTTAATGGGTCAAAAAACAGAGTGTCATCCGCAGTCTTTAATGAGCTGCAGAAAAGCTGTGCTCTACAGCTATCTTCCTCCTCCAAGCTGCCCTTTACAGCCAGGGAACTGCTCCCTGCCATTTCTTACCCCGGCAGCACGTGGCTGGGCTGGCAGCAAACTGCTGCCCCAGCACGATGTGCAGCTGGGGGGACCCCATGCTGAATCACAGCCAAAGCTGGGAAACCGAAATTGCAGCATCGCAATTCTGGATCCAACCTCGCAAATCCCAGCTCTGGCAACATCCACGGCGGACAAAGCCGATCCAGAAACGGTAACTGGGGGTCAACTCCTATCAACTTGAAAGGGGAAGCTGCTCTTTCTACTTGCTGGTGGGATGGACCCTCCCTTAAAAGTCTGGTAGGACATTTCAACCTGGGATTTTAGCACTCGTCACCCTTGTTCAAAGGGCTTCATCTGAAAAGATGTGCACGACCTCAGCACCCGCGCAGAGGGAGCGCTCATCCTTTGCTGATCGAGGGAGGAAGCGTTTGAAACGGCCGGCTGCAGGAGGAGCTGCCGAGAGCTCCTCTCACTGCTCTTCTCTTTCAAGGGTATCATGAACTTCCCCCTGCAGAGCCTTATTCCAAAACCAGAGCTACTTTTGCCATACAAGGAGATGGGAAGAGGAAACCAAGGAGAAAGGAAGGACATCAGTGCAGCTCAGGTAGGCTCTCTGTTGAAAAGGCCCTCTTCAAGCAAAGACTTCAGAGCCCACCCTGACTCAGTAGGGTGGACACGACACCGTGGTACCCGAGGGAAGTCCCAGAAGAGCCGATGGTAAAGAAATACCCACCTCATTAACTATATAATCCAGCAGTTCAAAGATGGCCATCGCAGGCCGGCTGTCCATCCCATGGCCTGCGTGGTTAAGATGACAAAAACAGTGGTGAGAAGCTGTCTGAGGGACAGCAAAGGACTTTGTTTCATGTGAAATGCATGTATGGTGTGGGACTTCTGCTGGGAGAGGCAGAGGCGACCCACTTGGGAACTGACTCGCGGTTAAAAAAAGCTGACGAAGAGAAAACCAAAACGCAATCTGAAATTTCAGATTTCTTTTACCATGCCTATAGTCCAGATTTATTTCCTAGCTTGGAGCATTTGGAGAGTACCAGACCATCTGCTGTGGCAGGCTGGCAGTGCTTCTAGAGCCTTCTGCTTCCAAGCAAATGGCTCAAGAGGAGTTTCCTTCAAACCCCCATGCCGGTTTGGTACTTCTATGAGAGCTCTCAGCAAAACTCTTCCCAAAAACCTGCCTCTAGCTTGAAAGGAGCCTGCTGGCAGCACAGGCAAAGCCAGAGGAGCATCAGAGGCTACGACAGTGTCCCTCAAAGCATCTCCTCCAAGAGATCCACATCCCAACAGCCTGCACTGTCCCCAGCACGTGCTTTGCTGTGCGGCTTGAGCCTTCTCGTGGGACACAGCAGGGTGTAAAGGAGCCCATGGCAGGCAGACAAACTGAGTTCTTCAGAACCTTAGCAGACCCTGGTTGGCACTCCAAATCCGCTCCTTCACAGCATCCTGAGAGCAATCACCACCTCCCCACGCCACGCAAGACCAGACTCCCACCTGCGCTCGTTAGGAATCACTGCGGTAGAGCGGATTCTGCTGGAGCACTGACATAGCTCCATCTGCTCTGCAGAGAGGGGCCTCCCTAGAAACGCTCACCTCCCCGCCACAACCTCATCCAAAGCGGCCTTTGGCTAACCCAGCCACACCAAACAAAACCCGACCCCTTCTCCCCCACGTCTGCGTGTTGTTTCCAATGCATACGACAGCCCCTACCACTGACGGGGCGTCCTGGGGGCCTGGCCCGCGGCGAGATGCTGTGAGACTCTCCCTCTGCCCCGTCCACCACAGGACGGCCAAATATTGCTTCCAGTTCCTTGGAGTCTGGCGGGGGGATTGGGTACCTTCCGATAGACAGCTCCACTAACGACAGACCCATGCTCCAGATGTCGGACTGGACCGAGTAGTGGGTGCCCTGCAACCGCTCAGGCTGGAAGGAGAGACCACAGAAACACACGCTGAGGCAGAATATCAATACACAAGACATAAATATCACAGACTGAAATTAAATAGATGAGACTCAATATCCTGATGGCCTCTCCAGCCCAGCTCTCCACCCCGGCAGGGAGAGGACTGTCCCAGAGGGGTCATGTGCAAAGGGGATGTGAAAGAAAGATCATGTGCAACCATAAAGCACTTGTATGCATCTAATCAACAGCTACAGTCGAGCAGCATTTACAGCTGCTTATACTTAGGTTCCTACTGTGTACTCTGGACTCCTATTTCTCTGTATACTGAGGTCTAATGAACTCTATTAGCAAAATTTTTTTTTTTTTCCCCCTGCTTATTCCTGTTAACACCCAAGAAGAATTTGAGGAGCACAAAATCCACTCTAGGCTCTTCCCATTAAAAGAAAAATAAAAATAAATAAATCCATGCAAGTCATCTGTACTGGCAGCTTTGAGTCAGCTGTGCAGACCCAGTGGCTGAGTGCAAGGGAGATATTATTTTCAAATAGCCGCTGTCTAACTATAACTGTACTTGAATAACCACTCCCAAAATACGAGAGCAGCTCAGACCTAAGCACAGAAGTGTAGTCTGATGGCTTCCCTAATAACCCACCGCTCGCTCCCAGCCATGACCACACACGGTGTGGGGAGAAGACCCCACTCACGTTCTGCCTTTCAGCCAGCAGGACCTGGGGACTCAGAGCCAGGCAGGAGGTAAGGTTATTGTTACTCTATTATCTGCAGTTGAGCTAATACTGATTATGATTCTCCTTTAAGTGAGGTGCACAATCTCCTCCTGCAGTTCACTCTCACTGGCTGACTCCAATTTGGCTTTAATTTCCCATTAGCCTGCACCAAAACCCAGCTGCACTAAACTGGTTTTACCCCCATTTTGCCAGCAAGTGCACATGGTCAAAGCAGCAGAGGAGGTGCGTGTACCAACATCTGCATCCCCTTCACAGTTTCTTGGACAGAGCCTTGCATACAGAAAGGGAAGATGTTTTTGAACCCCCAAAAGCTTGCCAAAATAATATGGAAGTATTTGTAGGATCTGAAACATTTTTCCCTCCAAGTCTCTGCCCTTCCACATGCACCACTGCCAGCCAGGCACAGGTTGGAGCCCGCAGAGCAGCAGCTCCCTGAGAGGATGTGGAGATGTCTGCTTCTCTGCCACGGGACAGTGCCTCAAAGCACTGGGCTCACCCCCGCTGTGAACGAGGAACAGAGCAGGCCGGACAGGGATGGAAACACAGGGCAAAATTGGGAGTGAATTGGACACCACACGCTGATTCTGCAAGAGCAGAGTTGAACCCAAATTGTAAAAAAACCCAGCCAAAAGTTGTAAGGAACTTACAGACATGTAGGACCGAGTTCCCACAAAAGAGTTTGCCATGGAGTCAATGAGTTGACCGCTGACCCCAAAATCACACAGCTTAATCTCTCCTCGAGAATTAACCAGGATGTTAGAAGGCTTCACATCTGACAACAGCAAGACAGAAGAGCGTAAACACGACTCTAGGTAAAACACAGGGCTCTTGTACTGCAGGCGGTTATTTTTAGGTTCCTCCTCTCACCTCTGTGCATGATTTGGTGCTTCTCCCTCAGATATGCCAAGCCTCTCAGAACCTAGAAGGAAACCAAAGACAGGAGGAGATCAGAGCTGGGAAGGGAAGCACCTTCCCTTCAGCAGGACAAGTTGCATAAACTCCAGGTGCTGCCACACTGCAGCTTAGTGAGGAAAGCCACCCCATTGCGTCCACGTGTTTCAGGGTTTGCAATTTATCACTAAGTCAATCACGGATCTTGGGTTTATCACCCGAGAAAGCTTCTCCCAAATCTTCTCTGGGAGAAGCTAACACCAGTCAGTGCAACAAAAGGGGTCGGAGCTACAGAGTGGTTGGGAACATGCTTTCCTCCTCCCCTATCACACACACCACAGCCTCCTGCCCTAGATCAGGATAGGAAAGCACACATGGGGAAAAGAAGAAAGCTTCCTAAGACAACACAAGCATTATTCCCACACCATGCCCAGCAAATCCCTTCTGGAAGCCTGAAGAGCCACCGTAACTCACCGCTATACTGACTTTCCCCAAAATCTCCTCGGGAATTCTTTTGGCTTCTTTCAACACTTGATCCAAAGAGCCGCCATCCTAAAATAAAGAACATGGAAATGACCAACAGGCCAATCCCCTGCAGGAAAACAGAGCAGCTGGCTGTATGGGCAAGCATGCCCAGGGAGGGCAAGCGGTATATAAGCAGTACATAGCATCCTAGCTCAGCTGTCTGCAACGACTCAGCATCAAGAACACTTTTACAAGGGAGAGGAAAAAAAAAAGCAAACCAACAAACAACGGTATCTGGTGATCACAGCTCAAGCATCTCACTTGAAAACTATTTAATGCTATCTTCTATCAGCTCTACTTCTTGCTATTAGTTCTTAGCTTCCTTTCCACCAGTGGTAAATGAAGATGCTGTCAGAGCTGATCAGAGAAGTGACAACACGATTCTCCACCAGAGAAAACAGAAAATGCACGCTGTGCTCCACGGCAAGCTCTGTAGAGCAGCGGGTTTACAACATTTCCTTTTGGCCAACCCCCAAACCTCCGCTTCCGCCTTCCAAAAAGTTGATCTCTGTCATTTCAATGCCTGAGCAGGAGCACGCAGCTCCTACCAGGAGCACGGCGGCCTCGCTGCAGCCAGAGCAAGGAGCCATCACAGCTGCCAGCACCCTAACCCTTTCCACCTGTGATTTCAAGATGCAATTTAGAACAGTCCCAGGAGCAGCAGCTTGCAGAGGAGGAACAGGGACTCACCATGTGCTCCATGCAGATGGAGATCTCTCCGTCACTGTAGAAGGCTCCATAGAAACCCACAATATATGGAGAATTACACTCATGCAGCACCTGCAGCTCTCGGATAATCTGATTCCTGATGGCTGGTTTGATTTCTAAATGAATCAGCTGCCAAGATAGGAAAAAAAAAATATTCAAGGTGAAACACCTGGAAAAACTTACAGGAACCACGTGAGCAAGTCCTGAAAGTTGGAAAGAATCAAAAAAAACCATCCTCAAGGGAAGTTCTGCTTTGGCCTCGACTTTTTACCACTTGGAGACTGACATTAAGGATAAAGGGAGAAGTAGAGCCCTGTGCAGCCTGTTAGTGACTGAAGCAACTGCTGGCCATGTAACACACGGCGATCGCCCAGCATACAGAGCGGAAAGACAAGTCAGAAGTTTGATGCAGATCTGACTCAGCAGACGGGAACATTTTCACAAGTTCTGTAGGTGTTGTAAGAAGAGGTGCTCTGATATCAAGGAAACCACAGAAAGTTAAAAAAAAAAAAGAGCCATGAAGTTTATGCACGTGAAAGAGCAGTTGCTTTATTCCTTAGCTCCCCGTAGAGTCAGTTAACAGAGCTGTGGGTAGGGAAGCCAGAGGCTAGAAAATACAATGGCAGGTAAGAAAAAAGAGCCACTGTTACTGTAAGCTCTGGGTCACCCAACCCCAGGGAGGTCTGTCCTTCCTGCAGACCTAGAAAGGCCGGTCTCTGCAGGAAGGACAGCAGCACTGCAGTTTGCCCTGACTTCATTTTCTGAACACGGAGTCCCAACAATCTCAAAACCACCCAGCGACACCCAACACTCCCAAACGAAATGCCTTGGAAGGCTCCGAGAGCTCAGCTCTGAGTGAAGCCACCTGGAGAAGCAGATTTGTTCATGAGACTCACTAAACCATCCCAACAGCAGCTGAGACCAGAGACTTTCAAGGAAGCTGTCCTAGAGATGAGCAGTCTCACTGTTCCTGCTGAGCAGTGCCTTTTCTAATAGGCAGATAAAGCACCTCCTAGTTTTCTACTACAGGGCACCACAGCAGAAGGTGTTGCCCATAAACCCATGTCTGAGGGGAACCACCATCACGGCTGCTTGGAACTACCCCAGGGATCTGTTAAGGGGATGGTGAGGGACATTTGTGTGTCAAACCCATCGCTCCACTTGCCATTTCCAGTCCTCATCAGCCACAAACTAGGATCCTCAAGAGATCTGCTTCTATCCAGTTTAGCCGACTTCATTAAAACCAGCTTCAGTGGAAAAAAGAATAAACTTATGTTTTCACACGCAGCGCTCCAAAGCCCAGGGACCTGTCACAGAGAGCGTGGCCTCTCCCAGGGGAGGACTCAGAGACAGGCAGCGCAGCTCAGAGATGAAGAGGGAGAAGCTCCATGTAAAACCTAGCTGGGGGCAACCACGACCACAGTCCTGACCCAGCAGAGGTGGTTTGGGAGCAGATGGGTCAGTGCAGAGAGATCCCAAGCGAAGCTGGCTCTCCCACAGCCGGGGCAAGTGCCAGATGCTCCAGCACAGCACCACAACCCACTCCTCCTGCCCCCAATTACCTTCCGCGCCATAACGAGCCCTGAGGGTTTGTGCTGCACTTTGGTGACCACACCACCATTGCCAGCCCCCAATTCAGAGATCCTCTCAAAGTCATCATCCTTCAGCTCGCCCACTTTGGCCTTCTGTGTGAGGAAAGCTTCCAGGCGCTTCTTCTGCTGCTCATCCAGCTCCAGTTCCTCGAGCTTCTTCTGAAGGTCCACCAGGTTTGCCCTGAAGAGTTGGGGAGGAGACGGGGGGACCATTAGGAGACTGCGAGGGCAGCACCAGAGAAAGAGGAGTTTACATCTCCTCTGGAGGGGAGCTTTAGTGCAGCCAGCTGTTTTGGGAAAGCCAAGGAGTAGGGAAAATCCTTCAACCCTTAAAGAGGCAGCACAGCTCAGCCCGGAGAGAACAGCAGCACCAGCAACCTCTCCCGACACGGGAAGCCAAGCTTCGGTTTCACTGCGAAACATGAGAAGGGCTTTCCACAGTGTCCAGCAACCCCCTGCTCCGTTACAACCACCCTGCCAGCCCCCAAACCCAGCACTCCCGAGCACAAAGGGGTGTCTATGCTCCCCCAGCACCTGCTGCTGAGCTCCCATCGCCTGTGCAGGCTCCAGCTGCTCTCTCCCGTTTGCTGCCCACCCCCCTTACCCCCTACCACCCACACCTAGGGGATGGTTTGGGACAGTCTCACCCCACCCCTTCCACCCAGCACCCCCATGCAATGCTCTGCCTCCCCTTAGCACTGCCTGTGCCCCCACTCCACCACCCTTCGCCCCACACAGCCTGATCACAGAGCCCCGACTGCTGCCCCACATCCACCCCACCAAGCCTAGGTCCCCATCCGCGCCCCAGCCTGTGTGCCCAGGCCTGAGCCCCGCACTGCCCTCGGCACCCCCAGACCTTCCCCCCAGCCTCCTCTCCCTGCCACCCACCCCCCCCCCAAACCCGGGGACCGAAGCAGGCTCCACCCCTGCCCCAGTCCACCCAGGCCCTGTCCAGACCCTCACACCCCCAACCTGCCCTTAAGCTCCCCCACCCCAAACCCCTCCACCCTTGGCCTGTCCCGGCTCCCCCGGGCCTGCCCCGACCCCCACAATCTCCCCAGGCCCGCTTCCCGCCATGTCCCGGCCCACAGCGTCTCCCCAGGCCCGCTGCCCGCCACGTCCCGGCTCCCCCCCCCCCGCCCCGGCCGCAGCACAGGCTGGGCGGGCCGGGCCACCACTCACTCACTCGGCGGAGCCGTCGGGGCTCGGCCCCTCGGCAGCGCTGGGGGCGATGTTGAGGGCCGGCAGCACCGGCTTCCTCTTGGCCGGCATGGCCGGGCCGGGCCGCGCCTGCGGGGCCTGGGCGGGGGCGCGGCCGCGCGGCGCGGGGGCGCGCGGGGGGCGGAGCCAGGGTGGAAGGGGGGCGGGGCCACGTGGAAGGGCGTGGCCAAATAGGGGCGGGGCGCGAGTGCGGCGGGGAGGGAGGGGGCGGGGGCGCGAAGTCTCGCGAGAACTCGCTGAGGGGTTGGGGGGGGGGGGGAGAGGGAGGGGCGGGGGCAGCCATGGCTGAGGGGGCGAGGGGTGAGGGAGGAGGCGAGCAAACTCCCGGCTGTGCTGAGGGAGCGAGCGCTAATTGGCTTGTCAGTAATTAGCAGGGAGTCCCCCCCCCGGCTCCTGCCTACGCTTCCCGCCACGCTTGACCGCAGGCAGCAAGCCCAGGGGACGCTCGGCGGCCCTGAGAGAGCCGGGCAATGAAAAGCCTTGAGGGGAACATGGCGCCGGGAGGGCGAGTGCCCTTTGCTCGGTTCCAGGGGCTCCCGTCTCCACCGAAGGGCCATAAACTAGGGAGTGGTGTGCTGCCCTTCCCGCTACCGCCCGGTCAGAGGGCACCGGGCGGCAGATAATGGGACGTGGCCTTGTCCCCGCACCGCGCCTTGGTCACACGCCACCTTACTCAGCTGTCCCCTCCCTGCGTGAGGGGGATCGGGGCGGGGGGGGGGGATCCCAGGGGGTCCAGTGGGGTGGGACTCCTCTGGAGGGTGACGTGGGTGACATGGGTGACGCGTGTCGGGCTGATGCCCTCGCTGCGAGGTGACGGGGAGGGATGAACGCAACAGCTAACAAACCACGGCGTGTTTGGCTGCCAGACGGGGGAAACTGAGGCACGGGGGGTGCGAGCAGGCAGCAGCCAGGCGGGCAGCAGAACCCAGGGGTCAGGGCCAGCCCTGGCCGCAGGGAGCAGAGGGAACCAAGGTTTGTTGTGGAGGAAGCCGTAAGCGATAGAGTCCACGTCGACATCTTCCCCGGATGTTGTTGTCAACACCTATCAGATGTGATTAATGCCGATACGCTCATCTAAAAAAAAAAAAAAGGGAAATTGTCCCCAGAAATGGGTGAAAGTTCATGGGCAATCACAGCGCTCGGACTTCGCTCACCAGTCCAGGGCCCCTCCTGCCCTGCTCAGTAGAGGAGGACAAAAACATTTGGCTAATGAGTTACGTAGTGCAGCAGGTCCATCCCCCGGGCAGCCCTGCCATTGCTCACCACTGTCCCCAATCAGGGATGGGAGATTTTGCAATCTGGGACGCTATTTCTGTGCAGTTGGAGTTTAAACTTTGCCACTTGGGTCAGGGCACCACGGAAGAGGAGGAGGTGGCCGGTCTCACTGTCCGCCCCGTTCCCCTGAGCACTGAAGGGGTTGAGAAGACAGGACGGTTCCGTGGGTGTGGGATCTCACACAGGTATGTCCTGACTGCTGGTGCTCAGTGGGGTCCCTCTTCCTGCTGGTCCCACAGGGCCATCAGGGCTCACTGGAAGGACTGAGGATGAAGGACAGGGTGGAACAAAGCTCCTTGCGTGGGTTGGCTAGCCAGACATCATGGTAATGACAACTGTCCCCAAACCTGGCTTGAAGGACACTTAGGTCAGTGCTTAATAGGTTGGGAGGGGCGGTTGGGTGGAGTGGGTTGGATGGTGGGTTCAGTGGTGAGTTGAGTGGTGGGTTGCTTGGTCAGACAGTTGACTGCTCAGTCAGTTGGTTATTTGGTAGGTCAATCAGTTGGCCAACAGGTTGACCACTTGGTCTGGTTCTTGATTAGTTCGTTGATTTGGCTGGTCAACCAGTTGGTCAGTTGGTCAACTGGTTGGTCAGCTAGTCAGTTAGTTGGGTTGTCAGTTGGCAGATTGACCATTTGGGCAGCTGTTTGCCCGTTGGGTTTCTCTGAGTCCGTGGAGTCGAGCAGTGCCTGGGGTGGCAGTGGCAGAGTGGGACTGAGTCCCCTCCTCCGGGCTGGCCGGTGGCAGCAATCTCCTCCCCCTCCTCTTGTCACCCAAAATGATTAACCTGATCTTCCAGAGTGGTCACAAAGGGGACCTGACCCGCCCTCGGGTCTGGGTGCTCAATCCACTCCTGTACTTGAGGGGCACAGTGGGGCTGGGGCAGCTGGGTGCCTGCAGGGAGTCCCTGGCTGTGCTGTTCCCCTGGGGGAAAAAATAGAGGATTTGGGAGCTTCAGCTGCTGGAAGAATGAGGGGGTGTGTGGGGGGAGAGGCTACTGCCATGCCCCTGAGCCCCTGCATGCCTGTGCTCTCCTTCCCACACGCGTGCACGTAGGGCTTTGCCAGCTGTGCCCACACGTGCTCACAAACAGGTGCTGGCACACACGTGGGCACAGGTGTGCACATTGCGTGGTCAGGTGGTTGCCTGGGACACACAGCTCTGCACACGTGTGTGCCAGCACGGCCGTGTGCACGGCCAGCCGGGCACACATCTGCACGGTCCCACGCGTTCACACACGTGCACACGTGTGCACCTCCCCGGGGTCCCACACACGTGTGCCCATGGCCAGGCATGCTCCTTACTCCTCCTCACCAGCCCCGTGCCTGCCTCACGATTCGGGGTGTCCCTGGGGCTGTGCAACTTGGAGGAGGGGGGTTGGGGGGGAGGCTGGGGGGCAGTGACAGGCGCTGGGTTAGGGACCTGACCGTGCCGCCTCGCAGCCATGGCCTCTGGCGTGGGCAGCCTCGACAGCCTCGACCTGCTGGACCTCCTCTTCGACCGCCAGGATGGGATCCTCCGTGGTGTGGAGCTGGGGATGCCGCCGGGCTCCTGGCACAAGGACGGGGTGAGTCTCCTGGGCTGGGGGGGGCCCATCCCCACCTCACCCCTGGGTCTGGTGGGAGACCCCCATCCCCACACCTTGCCCGGGAGCTGGCACCACCCCGCAACATGGGTGGCTGCTGTGGGCACCCCAGGGTGACAGGCACCCATGTCCCCACAGTGTGCCCAGGACAGTGAAGACTTCCTCAGCTCCATCCTGGGCTCCGGGGACTCGGCGTCGGACTCGCCCAGCTGGTCCCCGGCCGCCAGCGACAGCGGGGTCTCTGAAGACCCCCCCTCTGACCAGCTCGACAGCCCCCCCAGGTGCTGTGACGGGGGTCCCAGCGAGGTCCTGTACCCCTACGCCAACCCCTGTCGGGCTCTGCCTCTCCCGGGGGCGACTGGGGTCCTGCACCCCGAGGTCTCCATCGACCTGGGTGAGCCATGGGGGAGAGAGGCTGGGGGCACTGGTGGGACTGGTGGGGACTGGGGACATTGGGGAGCTCAGGAGGGATGGGGGATCTGGGGTCTCTCAGTAATAGTGAGGAAATTAGGGGAGCGGGGGGGACTGGAGGGAACTGGGCAGACTGGGGAGACCTGGGAGATATGGAGGACCGGGGGGGTGAGCCAGGAGTAGTGAGGAGAGTTTGGGAACTGGGGTGAACTGGACGGACTGGCATTGGTGGGGGAGACTGGAAGAGAAAGGAGGTTTGGGGGACTGGGGGTGCTTTGGTGGGCTGAGCAGCACAGGGTATTCTGGGGGGCTGGGGCAGGACCAGAGGGACAGTCTGGGGCCACTGGACTGGTAGGTGGCAGCAAGTCACCGTAGCTCTGGGGCCATGGCAGGGGTGAGCGTCCTGCCCTGGGGACACTGGGGACAGAGGGGGACACAGGACTGCTGACAGCCTCTGCTCCCCTGTCACCCAGACATGTGGCACCCCGGCTTCTTCCTGGAGGAGAGCCAGGACCTGCCCGCGGTCTCCCCGCCCGCATCCTGCACCCTCACCGTCAAGGACCTGCTGCTCTCAGGCAGCTCTGATGCCGTGAGTGTCCCCATCCCTCCTTGTCCCCAGCCCTGTCCCTTCCTGGACCACGATCCCCTCCCCATTCCTGTCCCCATCCCTCCCTGTCCCCACACTCGTCCCCTCTCCCCCACCATGGCCCCATCCCTGTGTCTTCCTGGACCACGGTCCCATCCTCATCCCCGCACCGTGGTCCCTGGGGTCAGGCGTGGGGTGGCCCCACTGCCCAGGGCCGTCACCCATCCGTGGCCCCACAGCAGCAACAGGTGCCCAGTTCCCTGCTGAGGCAGAGCCAGGGGCAGTTCCAGGAGCTGGTGCTGACGGAGGATGAGAAAAAGCTGCTGGCGAAAGAGGGGGTGTCCCTGCCCACACAGCTGCCCCTCACCAAGGTGGGTCCCGCCATGCCTGGAAAGGGTGCGGAGTGGGGGGGTCCCAGCCCTGACCCCCCTGCCCCATCTCTCCCAGTACGAGGAGCGGGTGCTGAAGAAGATCCGGCGGAAGATCAGGAACAAGCAGTCGGCTCAGGAGAGCCGCAAGAAGAAGAAGGAATATATTGATGGGCTGGAGAGCCGGTAGGGACCCCCAAACCCCTGCCCTGGGCACGGCTGCACACCCACCCCCAGGGCTGGCACCCACCTCCCGCCTCAGGCACCCCGGGGGCACCCGCCCAGCCAGTGATGGCCACGCTGCTCCTTGCCAGCCCCCCCGCAGCTGTGTTCCCCCCCCCCTCTTCTTGTCCCCCAGGATGTCGGCGTGCACGGCCCAGAACCAGGAGCTGCAGAGGAAAGTCCTGCACCTGGAGAAGCAGAACTCGTAGGTGTTCCTGGGGCAGGATGGGGACAAGGAGGGGGAGGACGGGGCTGTGACTCCCCCCCTGGCCCCGGCCAGGCCTGCTGGGGGCCAGGAAGGGTTGGAGGTGCTAATGGGCTCTCCCTGTCCCCAGGTCCCTCCTGGAGCAGCTGAAGAAGCTCCAGGCCCTCGTGGTACAGTCAAGCAATAAGGCAGCGCAGACAGGAACCTGCATCGCGGTGTGTGGAGCCCCCAAACCCGGCCATGGCCACCTTGTTTTGAGGGAGGGAGGGAGGGAGGGAAGCTCAGAGCCACGGAGATGGGCTGGCAGGGGTGGATGGAAGGATGGACAGTGTGCTAAGGCAGAGGGATAGATGCTCCAAGGTGGGATGGATGGAAGAAGGGATGGAGGATGGATGGATGGAGGGAAGGGATGGATGGATGGATGGATGGATGGATGGATGGATGGATGGATGGATGGATGGATGGATGGATGGATGGAGGGAAGGGATGGATGGAGGATGGAGGGAGGGAGGGAGGGAGGGAGGGAGGGAGGGAGGGAGGGAGGGAGGGAGGGAGGGAGGGAAGGGATGGATGGAGGATGGATGGATGGATGGATGGATGGATGGATGGATGGATGGATGGATGGATGGATGGATGGATGGATGGATGGATGGACGGAGGGAAGGGATGGATGGATGGAGGATGAATGGATGGATGGATGGATGGATGGATGGATGGATGGAGGGAAGGGATGGATGGATGGAGGATGAATGGATGGATGGATGGATGGATGGATGGATGGATGGATGGAGGGAAGGGATGGATGGATGGATGGACGGATGGATGGATGGATGGATGGATGGATGGATGGATGGATGGATGGATGGATGGATGGATGGAAGGATGGATGGAGGATGGATGGATGGATGGATGGATGGATGGATGGATGGATGGATGGAGGGATGGAGGGAAGGGATGGATGGATGGATGGATGGATGGATGGATGGATGGATGGATGGATGGATGGATGGATGGATGGATGGATGGATGGATGGAAGGATGGATGGAGGATGGATGGATGGATGGATGGATGGATGGATGGATGGATGGATGGAGGGATGGAGGGAAGGGATGGATGGATGGATGGATGGATGGATGGATGGATGGATGGATGGATGGATGGATGGATGGATGGATGGATGGATGGAGGCGTGCTGGCAGGGGCACACACACTGAGGGTGGGGAAGGAGAGACGCAGTCCTGGTTCTGCCGCCAGCCCCCTCCCTGGGAGCCGTGTCCCAGAACCTGCTCCCCCTCCACCACCGTGCACAGTGATGTCCCCCCTCTGCCCCCAGGTCCTGCTGCTCTCCTTCGCACTCATCGTCTTCCCCTCCATCAGCCCCTTTGCCTCCAGCAAGGCTGAAGCAGACGGCGACTTCAGACCCATGCGAGGTGAGGGCTGCGCCGGGGCTGCGCCAGGAGCTCGGGGCGCTGGCGTGGGCCCTGACCCTCCTTCGCCCTCAGTTTTCTCCAGGTCCCTGCACAACGCGGCCGCCTCCCGCGTGGCTTACACACAGCCCCAAGCTGGGGACGAGAAGCCCCCGGAGCCGCTGTGGCCGGAGCGCCTGCGCAAAGCCCCCGAGACCCTGCACGAGGCCTTTGGTGGCCGCACATTCACCCCACGCCTGGACAAAGTCTCCTCCCGTAACGGCACGCAGCCGCTTGCCTCGGAGGGGCTGAGCCGTGGGGACAGTGATCCAGCTGCTGCCGCAGCGTGGACCGAGGCTGCCCACAGCAGGCCCACGGTGCTGGAGCCAGCTGAGGAGCTTTAAGCAGCACCCAGGGACCACGGGGGGGGGGGGGTGCGATGGGGTGGCTCAGCACCTCATCCCCTCTAGGACAAGCCCTTGGGGTGACCCCTCTAGGATCTGCCTCCAGGTGCGGGCAGATGCTGGACCCGCTTGGCTTTGCTTGTATCTGTGAACTGGGAAGATGAGACTGGTTCCCACTGGCCTTACTGGGAGGGAAGGGGCTGCTCCTACCCCGCTGGGTGCAGCAGGAGTTGTGGAAGGGACACAGGGTCGCTCAGGATGGGGACGAGGGAACTGGAGGGGCCTTGGGCTGGTTGGCTATTGATGTTGCAACTGGTTGGTTTTGTTTTTTTGTTTTTTTTTTTTTTTAAGCTTTATTTTCACTTCTGAATACAAGGTATTTTGGAAAAAATCCACCTGCTTTAGTTTAATACGGGGTGATCCACAAGGTTTTGAGGACCCTTGGGCCAGGGACACCTCGAGCCCTGCCACCATGAGCTCACAGGGTCCAACAGAGCCGGGACACGTGGCCAGACGCAGCCTGGGGCTGCCCCAGGAGCAGCGGGCAGAGGGACCGGGGCACCAGCCCCAGCTCTGCGCCAGGTCAGGATTCGGCCAGCACCCCCCCTTCCCTCCCAGAACCGTCCCCAGCACACGCGGGACTGGGCTGCAGGCAGATCTCAGCCAGGAGATTGCAGCAGCAGCTCAGCCCAACCACTGCCCGGCCCCAGCTTCATCCGAGGTGGCACCAGCTGCCCCGATGATCCCCTTGGGTCACCGCCCCAAGCGCTGAGCACCCTCATCCCTCTGCCCCTCCAAGGTCTGCCGGACCCCATAACCATCTCCTCGCAGAGAGGGAATTAGGTGCTCAGGCTGTTTCAAGCAGGCAACATCCCTCCCGGGCCGGTGGGTGCTGCTGCCTCAGCACACCCAAATCAAGTGTATTTAATACTTACATAAAAAAAGGGACAATGTTTTAAGGGTATAAAAAAACGTCGGTAGGAAAAGCGGCGCAGACGAGTGTCTAGACGGACAGGGAACAGTCTGGGTCAGGTGAGGAGAGGCTCCACCTTCATCTTCTTCACCGTTGTTGGCCCCGTGTCCGGGCTGGGACACTCCTGCTTCAGACTGTCACGCCGCTCCACCAGCGTGGTCCCAAGGTCAGGACAGAGCCCACCGGTGCCGTTGTGCTGGGAGAGGGGCTCCTCCTTCAGCAGCCCGCGAGCCCCGGGCTCGAATTTGAAGAGCTGTTCGGGCTTGATGAGCTCAGCGCTTTCCACCACCACCGGCCCCAGCCACTCCGGGACCTCCAGCCCCAAGTGCTTCATCAGCTTCGTCATGACATCATCGACGTAGGCGTGGATGCGCAGGTCGGCCTGTCTGTCCTGGGGCAAGCGAGGGCAAGCACGGCGTCAGGGGACAAACGGAGTGTGCGGGGACAAACGTCCCCTCCCCGGGAGCACGCGGGGACAGGGCCTGGGTGATGGCTCAGCTGCACGCGGGCTCCTGTCCCCGAGACACCATCCCTGGTGGAACACACACCGACCCCGGCTACACCGCGGGCGGGCAGGGCCCCGCCACCGTGAAACGCAGCGTGGAGATGGGGATGCAGAGCCAGGCTAGCGAGCCCCGGACAGAGTGGGACGGGGACAAGGGAGCTCTGGTGACGCCCCAGAAACCCCCCAGCTCCGGTTATTTGAAAGACTTCAGACAATTAGAGCACCAAAATCAGGGATGGACATGAACCGAACTCCTCTGCCCCGTGGCGTGGGTTACGTGTCTGCAGTTTCCATCAGACTATAACTTACTGGAGGATACATCAGGCTTTGGGCTGAGTTTTTATTCTGCTCTTAAGACTCACCTTCCATTTCTAGGTGTTTATTGGGAGTTACAGGTTTAAATCCTCCAAGGGAAGCCCAGCCTGTTTGCCTGCTAAGCGAGGCCACTCTTCAGTCTGGCTGCCTGGGAGGGGACGATGTGCAGGGACTAACCTGTGACGGGGCTGAAACGAGTGATGTGAGGGCAAAGGAGCAGCGCAAAGCAGTGAGGACGCTTTTACTCACATGTTTAGTTGCTTGTAAATTGACTATGACCAGCTTCCCTCCTCTCTTCTTTGTGATCAGCGGGAGGTTGCCACTGGGTTTGATCTGCAGCGAGGTCCCCAGAGTGATGGAGAGATCAGCTTTCCTGCAGAGAGGAGACAAAACATCCAGGGCAGAGAAAAAGCCGTGGCTGTTTGCAGGCTGCTTCTCCTACCCTGCTCCAGTGTGGACTTTACAAGCTTCCCAGCCAGGAAGCAAAACCGTGGCCAGAATTTGCAGTGGTTTCTCTCAGCCACTTCCCAGGGAGAGGGCCGGGCGTTGCTGTGGGTACGGCCTCAGGGCTGCGAGGCACAAAACACGACACACAAAGCCAAGCAGGGTCAGCCCAAGGGCCACTGTGGTGCGGGCAGAGGACGGGGAGCCCGGGCAGCCCCCCACCCCCAGGGCACCACGAGCCACTGCGGCGTGGAGAGCCCAAGCACAGTACCTGCAGGCTTCGTCCGCCAGCGTGAGGTCGCGGTCGGGCAGGGAATCTTCCCAGTCCAGAATGGTGTCTCTTAACTTCCCTCTAGAAAACACACACAGGGACCGTGGCTTCCCCTGCCAGGCGGGAACAAGCAGCAGAACTGCTCTGGGAGAGGGGACAGTGACCCAGATCCTGCCCCACCCTCCCTGTCCCAGCACTGTGAGGGGACAAAGAGAGCCCAAACGAGCTGAGGGGACTCACCGACAGGCGAGGGAAGGCACGGAATTCACCTGTATGGGGGATTTTGTGGCTGGTGCTCCGATGCCACCAAAGCCCCAGCTGTTTTGCTGTCCCAGTTCAGAGCTGGAACGTGCCCTCCACTCCCCATCATCGGAGCTGAGCCAGCAGGGCTCTGCCCCATGGCCCGGAGCCCCCGGCTCTGCATGAGAAAAGCAGCTGGGCTGGGCCCGGTGAGCCTGGGTGAGGAAGCACGAGGGGCACGTGGAGCGTGCCTGATGCCAGATCACCTCAGGGTCCCTCCAGCTGCAGTGCTGGCTTCCTATCCGGGCCTTTGGCCGTCTCCCCTACACCCTCAGCTTTTTCCCCCCCGAGCTGGAGGGGCTGTCAGCCCAGCCCTGCGAAGCCAAGTCTGCGCACCGGAGCCACTCGCTTGGGTGAACGGGTCCCTGCCACCCCACGTCCCCTCGGGAGCCCCCACCCAGCGTCCCAGCAGACGTACCTGCAGGCCCGCAGCCCCCGGGCTTTGGTGACGCTGCACAGCCTGCCCGTTGGCTTCAGCCCCATGCTGCCCACGACCGCGTCCCGCACGTACTGCCTGCAGGAGAGACAGCGCCACTCAGGGCAAAGGGCTTCATCCAGCTCTGCCTGCGTCTCTAACCAGGCCCTGCTGTCAGCAGCTCTGACCAACAGCCCCAGAGCTCTGTCACAAGCCAGGATGGAAAACCCGGCTTGTAGCAACCGCCTCTCTCCAGCTGGCATGCCCAGACCCTGCTGCAGGCAGCCCTGCTGGCACATCCACCTTGCCACGAGGAGCAGGATTTGCCGAGGGCCTCCCAGGCAACGCAGAATTCCCAAAATGTTCGTTTCCCACCGTTTGACAGGGTTTAGGATTCAGACGGATCTGCCCGTGACCCCACGCACGCTGCACGAGAGACCGGCCAGGCAGACAGCCCCACGGCGTGTGCAGGGCCTCCGTCGTTCCCCGGGGGACAGCGCCAAAGCCCCCACCCCACCAATGCCCTCCCCAGGCTCAGGGCTCACGTACTTGCCGCATTTCACACACTCTTCCACAAACATGTTCCCGTGGAGCTCAGCCAACTTGTCCCTGCGGGAGAAATGGCAGAGATGAGCTGGGGAAGGGTGGAGAGGCCTGGGGCAGCAGGGGAAGCTGCCCAAACCCCCTCCTCACCAGGGGCCCCCCACCTCGGGGGCTTCCCCTCTTTCCGGCTCTGCCGGATCAGACCTGCCAGGTGATGTGGGGTGGCAGGGACCCTCTGCCGTGGCCTGGGGACAGTGCCCCAGCACAGGGTCAGCACTGGGGGGAATTCTGTTAGTTATAGACAAATATAGCTGCATCTGAGCAAGGCACCAGTGTCGGGCAGGCTCTGGGGGCACTGGGTGCCACAAAACAACCTGCAGGGAGGCAGCTGGTCTGGCCACCGAGTGCAGGGGCTTCCTTGTGCCGAGCGTGGCCACCACATGGAGGGCAAGCAGGCGCTGGCAAAACTACGGCACACTCAGCACCACTTTGTGCATTTAACACAAGAAATATTGTTCACAGGGAGCTCGGGTGGAGCTGTCCCTCTCGCAGGGCAGGGGAGACCCAGGGGACACGTTCAGATCCTGGCGAGAGGCCTTCTGCACCACGGCTTCATCTCCCGTCGCAAAAGCACTACGCTACGGCCACCACCATTGGGACTAAGGGGAGGGTCAGCACGTCCTGGCTTTTTCATTTCAAATGCTTCCATCTGCAGCACCAATTATAGCCCCTGTTCTGATTCAGCCTCAAATCTCTGCGCCCGGTAGTAACCAGGATTTTTGCTTTTCTCAGCACTCAGTGTTCCTCTCTGTCCTTGCACCATTCCAGCCTTTTGCCTCTTGTTTTGACTAAAACTCCCCTCGAGCTCAGTGCGAGCCTCAAAGTGCAGAAGCTACTGGAAAACAAGGCTACACTCTCCCTATGTTCCTACAAGCCCCACAGTGACTGGGAACCTCCTCCAGGGTGGAGGGAGACAGGACTGACTTGATTTTCCCCCATTTTGGCCCCAGTTCAGCAAAGCTTACTTAAGCACATGTTTTGCTTGGGCGGAAGAGCTGTGCTAAACCAGAGCAGGAGCCAGTGGCACTAGGCTGCAGGGAGCACAGCTGGGTCCTGGTCATTATTTCTTATTCTTTTTCCCATGGTTGTTTAGTTTAAAAAAGGCAAATGTGGTGCTAGGAGCAGGAACCGAGACTCAGGGCTTTTAATAATAGGAAATACCCCCTGAAGGCAGCTCTCTGCTCAGCCAGTCATGGCTGAAGGCATTCAAGAGACGCATCTTCTCCAAGGTCCCATTCGTGCTTCTCATTCTCATCCCAACTCCATTTTATTTTCTTACTTGAATTCAGCTGCTCTCCCCTTTCCTTTCCAGGCAGCTCCAAGCAGTCTGCCTCTCAAGACAATCACTTGCTGGTCTTAAGTGCTGGAAATGGGTTTTATAACAGGCTGAAGTTTCTTGAGGGACTGCTGCTGCAAGTGCTAATGGAAAGGCAGGTTCCTCTGAGGACATCTCTGAAACAGCCACTGCGCTGCTAAATGCACTTCAGTCCCCACCCACGCAGGGAGCCGAGATTTTGTACCCTCGGCTCGCACACGTCACAGCTCCCTGCAGAGGGAACACGGCTACGCAGGATCCCTGACCTCATCGCAGCGAGCGAGGAAATCAGAGACCACAGCCATAAGTCAGGCCAGTTCCAACTGCAGGACTCATTCTCTGTCCTGCCACTCCTGCAATTTTGGAAATTTATTGAGAGGCAAAGTACTTTTTAAGGCTATCTTGGGCCCAGGCATGGTTTCATGAATGGGGCAGCACCACTTCTATTTTATCTCAAGAAATTCAATTTAAGCAAACTGTAAAATAGCACAAAATCCAGTGCTCTGAGACAGCTCTAGCAGTGCTGGTAAAACAAGGCGACGCGCACCTCTACAGGAGCAGTTTCAGATGCCCATTTCCCCCCTCCTGTCCACTCACCCCTCTGGATGGGTACAGAGGCACCAGAAAGGACTGTGTGCCCCAAGCACAGCTCTGAGACCACTTCCCAGGAGCACGTGCCCTACTTGAAGCCGACATCTCACTCCCCGGGCCACGAGCCCCCAGGCAGCCCCGCAGCGCAGCCGGGGCTGCTCACAGCGGCACCGACAGCTACAGCCACCCAGCTCACAGATGGTAACATGCGACAGCTCAACACCACACCTGATCATTTTTCTTGTGAACAAATGGCTTCTGGGTGTAGAGCATCAGCTGAGTCTGACTTTATTTCATCACCCTCTGAATTATTACCAGAACCCCTTTTCTCTAAATTCCCCATTTCTGGCAGACAGCTTCCAAGCCAGCCTCGGAAATCAAGCCCCAGCATCAAACGCTTGCACGCGAGGCCATGCTAATGGGGCAGCAAGAGCAGCCACACGGCCGTGGCTGGGAAAGGCATGAGGGACCCAGAGACAGGGCAGGAGAGGCAGTACCGTGGGAATCCTGAACGCACGTGAAGGCCGTCCACATTCTGGCTGACCAGGAATTTCAGGATGCCGACTCTCTGCAGCCCCAGCAGCGCCATGTGAGTCTTGGAGGGCCTGGCGTTCTCAAAGGTAGTGTCAAATTTTGGGGAGAGGCCCTTCTCCTCCATAGTCCAGACACCATTGGGCCCCCTGCAGCAGTGGGGACAGAAAAAGTGAGAATTGAAAGCTCAGGCTCTAGGAAGACAGTTGTAAATGTACCAAAAGCCCTATTAATGAAGGATGAGCAAGGCACTGCTAAATGAAGGTCGTGGTGCACCAGCAGTTTTTGTTGTTGATGCAAGCAGAGTGCACGAAGGGCTTCTGTGGGTATGGCTTAACGCCAAAGGTGCAAAAGGGAAAGGGTATTTTCAGCTCGATCCAGGGCCAGACAGGAAGGATGGAGTAGGTCTGGCTGGGGTAGCAGGAAGCACAGCCCAGAGCTTCACAAGATGCGAGATGGACTAGGCAGAGGTGCCATCCTCCCCACCCCTCGCCTGCTGCCCACCACCCTTACCTGAAGTCGGGAATCCCCGAGGCGGTGCTGATTCCAGCCCCGGTGTGAAACACCACATTGGAGGAGCTCCTGATCAAGTCTGCCAGCTCCCGCACCTTCCTCTCCAGTTCCTCCGGCGGGTCAAAAATCTGAGAAGAGACAGACCGCCACGGCAATGGAGAGATGCAGAGATAGATCCTACACACCTCCCAGCACAAAGACCCTGTAAACCACAATTTTTTCTTATCCGTGAAAGGAAAGATTTCACATTCCTTAATGACAAAAGCACTTATTCAGGGGGGAAACAGCATTGTATAAACCATCTCCATGAGAGTAACGCAGGCAATGGTATTTATTGCTCTCGCTGACAAGCAGCTGATACCTCGAGAAGTGGCTGGGCTCCAGGGCACTGCCGGCAGCAGGAGGACAGGAGCAAACCTGGTGCCACCCCACGCGTGCTCGACTCTGGCTGCCACCAGCACGGCCAGGACAGGGCTGGGGGACCAGCCAGCCACACGGGAAGCCATACAGGCAGGGGGGGACACACGAGGACGCTGTGGCTGGACGGGACCACGTGTCCACCTGGCTCTCTGGCACGGGCACAGGGTTTCATTTCTGCGAGATGTTTCTCCAGCTTGGTCTCCTGGGGACAGGGACTGAGGCCAGGCCCCTGCGTGTCCCCATCCCCCCCACCCCAAAACCTGGTTTAAGCTTCCCAAGTATTGCAGGGAACACGGGGCTGGGGTCACAGGCCCCTCGCACCCAGCCCCTGGGGATCCCCACTGGGGAATACAAAGGGTCCCCCTACGGCTGGGAGCCCATGTTTGGGGGGGGGGGGGGGGGGGGGGAAAGGGGTTAATGGTGGGCCTAGAGGACAACGACAAAGAGGGAGCCATGGGGCTGGGGGGGGACAAGGAGGGAGCGACGAAGCTAGGGGGAGCGTTGAGGGAGGGACGAGGCTGGGAAGGACCAGGAGAGAGCCACAGGGTGGGCGCGGGGGGACGCAAAAGGGTCCCCGGTGCTGGGTGCCCCACGGGAGACGCCCCGGGGGCCGTGGGCCCGGTCGCCATGGAAACCCGCCAGGCCGGAGCAGGGCCCGGGTAGTGCCGGGAGGCCCCGCCGCGCCGCGCTCACCTCGGGGAGGCCGCACTTGCCCTTGTCCGAGTAAGGCGAGAGCCCGGCCGCGTAATTCACCGCCATGGCCCGCCCCGGCCTCCGGAGCGCGCATTGTTACCGGCCCCGCGGACGGGCGGAAACGAGCGGAGAGGCCGCGAGGGGCGGGCCGGGCCGGGCGGGCCCCGCCCGGGGGCGGACGCCGCCGCCGCCATCTTTGTGCCGGGCGAAAAGGGAAGGGGGGCGGGGGGGGGGGTTGGCTTGCCCTCACCCTGCCAGGCCTCCACTGTGCCCCCCCCCCCCCCCCCCCCCCAAAACCCAGCCAGGTGCTGCGATGAGGGCGCAGAGTGGGGAGAAGCGGGGCAGGGGGTGCCGGCTGGTCAGGGTCCAGCCTTACCACACACTACCCACAGCCCCAGACGGCCAAGGAGCCCGACCCTGCTGCCCTCAGCCTGGCCCTGCCATGCCGCGTCCCCTCGCCTCCCTGTCCCTGGGCATTTCAGGGGTGCAAGCAGCCCCCTCCTCCCCAAAGGGGGCTTGTCCCCCGTCCAGAGCCCCCGCGGCTGCCAAGCGCTGCCAGGTGTAACCCCAGCCGGGGCCGTAACCCAACTCCCTCCCGCCTGGTCCCCCCCTCTCCTGCTGCTGACGGCTGGCGGGGAAACGGCAGGCGAGGACGGGGCTCGGGGGAGCAGCGGGTCTGGGGGTGCCTGAGCCGGCATCGGCAGCGGAGAGACCCTCGAGCGCAGCCGTCCCCTCATCCAGGCGCCCCAGGGCTGAGGCTGGAGCCGCCATGAAGAGCCTGAAGGCCAAGTTCAAGAAGGCAGACGTGAGTGCTGTCCCTGGGGACATGGGGACCTGCCCTGGGATGTCCACAGGGACATGGGGACATGCCCCGGGACGTCCCAAGTTTCACAGGGATGTGAGGACGTGGGGACGGTCGCCGGGATGTCCCCAGTGTCACAGGGACATGGTGACCTGCCCTGGGACGTGGGGTGGCTGCTCGCGATGGGGACGGCAGCCCCATGGAGCTCAGAGCTGGCTGCCACCCTGGCTGGTGGGATTGAGCTCCCAGTGAACCCAAGGGTGCTCCCAGTGCCATTGCTGGGAGTGGGGCAGAGCAGAGGAAAAAAAGGCAACAGCAGGGAGAGGGAAGCGGGTTTCGGGTCCCCTCCCTGTCCCCGTCCTGGGGACGGCTGCCAGCTTTCCAGCTGTCACAGCCAGTGGAACCAGCATGTTGATGCTCCTCAATTATTCAGCACCAGCCTGGCATGGGGCCGCAGGCTCTTGCCGTCCTCCACTCTGGGCAGAGGGTGACTGGGCTGTCCCCAGTGCCCATGGCAGCACCAGTCGGACATGTGCACTTGGGGACGCATGGCTGGGGACACGTGGACACAAGTTGAAGCCCCGTCACGTGCGTTCTGTGGGCCTGCCCTGCTCAGTGTTGCTCTGTGCCTCAGTTTCCCCACACTGCCCCGGACGCTTCTGTGAGTGGGGAGGGGTGAGAGGCTCCTGCTGTCCTGCTGCCCCTGGAGCTTTTCCAGGACAGCTGCCTGGGGACCCTTTGCATTTCGGGGCTCCCTCCCTGAGGGGAGTTTGCCGAGCCCCTGAGATGCAGGCAGGGGGTCCTAGCCCTTCCTTGGCCCTAGGGCTGTGGTGAGAGGTAAGGCTGTGCCCCCCAGGGCAGGGCAGGGGTTCCCACATCCCCATCCTCAGGGAGCAGGAGCTGGGTGGCATGAAGATTCTCGTCCCCTTGGTTTGGGGGTGCATGGCTGCCTCACCTTGAGCATGGGGTGGGAAAGCTGCCCCCCAACCCCTCCCATTTTAACTGGGACCAGCCTGGGTGCTGGTCCCTGACTGGGACCTTGGTACCTGCTCGGTGGCAGGGATGCGGGGATGCCTGGAGCTTTGGATGCTGAGGAGGGAGGGAAGGAGGGAAAGAAGGAGGAACTGAGGGATGGAGGGAGGCGGATCCTGGCTCCCACTGCGGCAGGACCCGGCCCCCATCCGGGCAGCGATGCTGGACCGAGCTGGGGTCTGGGGTCCACGGCTTGGAGCCCCAGCCTGCCCTCGCCCAGGCGGGGGGCGAGGGATGCATGGCTGCCCGCCACCTCCTCCTCAACACCATGAAGCAGATCTGCCTCTGTGCCGCTGCCTCCTTCGCGGTACGTCCCTGTCCTCCATCTCCGCTCCCCTTTGGTCACGTCCTCCGGGGTAAGCCGTGTCACCCCCACCCCACCCGGACCCCCTCCATCCCCATCCCTGTCCCGGTGCTCGGCAGCGTCCTCTCCAACCTGCTTTGTCCTTGCATGACAAGGGGGTGTGGGGGGGGGGGAGCTGGCACCCACCCTCCCAGTTTGCCCAGTAACCCTGGGAGGCTGGTTTATTCCCCGCCCCTGGATGGGGCCCCCTGGCCCCGCAGGGCTGGAGGGGCTTGCAGGGGCACCCGGTGGGAACAGCGGCACAGGTCCCGTGCCTGGTACTGGGCACCAGGCTGGCGAGGGGCAGGATGCAAGCAGCTCCCGAAAGGTGACATCCATTTCCTGCCGCCGCGGCCGCAGCGAGCTCGGGTTTGTCGTCACGGGCTGCGGGGTGAACCCAGGGCTTCCTGTGCTGGTCCTGTCGCGCTGGGGGTCGCTCCCTCGGGATGGGGTTGTGCAGGACCACTGGGTCAGCAAGCTCCCATCCAGCCCCAGTCCTGCGCAGGGGTGGGGACAGCGTCGTGCCCCATATATCCCAGGAAGGCTGGAGCCATCCCAGGGGATCTGATTTTGCTGCCAAGTGTGCTCACTCTGGCTTGGTCTCTGCCTCAGCAGGGAGCAAAGCAGGGCTGGGAACAGGCTTATTGGGAAGATCTGGGCAGGGATGGGGCTGAGGCACCTCATGGGTGCTGGCTAAACGGGGGCAGCTCTGTAAATGTCCTGGTCTGTGAGCTGCAAACTGGGGTGGGGGGCTGAAGGGGAATCCTGATCCCAGTCAGCTGTCCCAGCTAAACCCTCCATACCTGGGGACCAGACACCACAGCACCCAGGAAAGGGGTTGGCCCAGAGATGACTACCCCAAGGGATAGGGATGGATGGAAGATAGCAGGGATGGGGATAAGGACAGACACCTGAGCCCATGCCAGTACCCTGCCTGTCCGTGGGGATGGTACACCCATCACAGCCTCCTCTTGTCTTCATTGCAGAGCCAGGACTGGACCAAAAATGATGAGAAGCTCCTGCAAGCTGTGGACTACAACGATGCTGGGAAGGTGACATCTCTCCTCACCCGCAAGAGCCTGGTCCCCACCAAGCTGGACTCGGAGGGCAAATCCGCGTAAGTGCTGACCCACGTCCCCGGGGACGCCGGGGCTGCAGGGCTGGGGACAAGGCTGGGGGCCAGGGACATGAGTCTGACAGCTCCTGGTCTTGCTGCAGGTTCCACCTGGCTGCCATGCGGGGGAACGTGGACTGCCTGGAAGCCATGCTGGCTCACGGCGTGGATGCCATGACCAAGGACAGCTCGGGTGAGGGCATGGCCACCACGGGCCTCTGGCTAACGCCGTGGACCAGCCGGGGCCATGGGCGCTCCCCGGTGTTAAGGCTGAGGGGACAGAGGGGACAGCCACACCTATGGGGGCTGTAAATTGTCCCAGCTTCCTATGGGGACTCAAGCACTGTCTGATGGTGCTCCTGGGGATGTCCCCCTCTTATTCAGCCCCAGTCCAGCAGATCCTCCTGCGTGCCCATCCGTCCGTCTGTCACCCAACCAGTCCCCTCTGCCACAGACCCGTTGGCTGTTCTCTGACCCGTCCGTCTGTCCCTCTCCTCAGGTTACACTGCCCTGCATCTGGCATCCAAGCATGGCCACCCACAATGTGTCAGCAAGCTGTTGCAGGTACCGTGACTGGGAGCGCTGTGCTGTGAGGGAGGGAGGGTGCTGTGCCAGCAAGGTGTCCTCTCTGTCCTTGAACTCCCTTCCCTCACCAGTGCTGTTGGTTGGCAGGGTGGTTCCCAGCATTGCCTGGCACCTGCTCAGTCCTCCACCATGCCAAGGAGCCACATCCACTCGAGCAGTCTGTCTGTCTGTTCCCTGTCCTCTAACCCAGGCTCTCTCCCTCAGGCCTCCTGCCCCGTGGACGTGGCTGACGGCAGCGGCCGAACAGCGCTGCACCACGCAGGTGAGTGGGAACAGTGCCAGCCCCGTCCTGCTCCCGTCCCCGTGGGAGACAGAGTGCTCAGCCTCTGTCCTTCTCCCCAGCGGTCAGCGGCTGCATCTCGTGCTCGGAGATCCTCTGTGATTTCAAGGCTCCTTTGAACATCAAGGACAAGGTGAGATCCCGCTGCTTCTCGCCCTGCTGTGCTGTGCAGAGCAGCAAGGGCCTGGGCAGGGGCTGCCTCGGAGATGCAGCAGCTTCTGGGGTGGAACGTAGCAGCTGGCAGAACCTGGGGTGAAAACACCCCATGAAGTAGGACATGGAAATCTGGGAGATAATGGGAGCGGGGTGCCCCATGGGGAGATCTGAGGCTTGTCTGCACATCCTCACCCAACCTGACCCCGGCCAGGATGGCTCCACGCCGCTGATCCTTGCTGCCAAGATGAGCCACTCAGAGCTGTGCCGGTACCTGCTGCACCGCGGTGCGGCTGTCAACAGCCGGGACCTGCAGGGGAGGTGAGTCTGCACTGGTGGGGACTGGGAGGTGGACGGGGAGATGGAGGGAATGGGCCCCCTCACCTCCGCTTTCACTTCTCTGCTCAGGACAGCCTTGATGCTGGCCTGCGAGAACGGCAGCGTGGAGACGGTGGAAGTGCTCGTCAACGCCGGTGCCCGGGTGGCCGTGGTGGACTCCACAGGTCACGACGCCGTGCACTACAGCCTGGCCACGGGCAACGCTCTCATCCAGCACTTCCTCCAAGAGGCTGCTCAGCGCCGGTCCTGGGCCAGCGGTACGGCAGCCGTGCCGCCCTGGTGCTCCCTGTCCACAGGGGATGGACCCACGGGGGTGTTTTCACCCCACAGGGTGCTTTGGGGCAGGACTGTCTAAGCCATGGCTGGAAGAGGCTGAGCAAGGCTGGGGGGCACATGCCCCCCCCTTTTTCCCACCTGCTGGGGGCGCCTTCGCCCATGCTGTCGCCAGCTGAGGGCTGTGGGGTGGTGCTGAGCCACCTCAGTGTCAGCACATGCTTGCACGCCCGTGTTTGCAGGCATGGGGGTATAACTGCACGTGTGTTTCAGCCAATGTGTTTGCACATGTGTCTGCATGTGCATGTGTCCCCCTGTGCCTGCACATGTGTGTGCATCCCTGCAATTACACATCCGTGTATATTCCCATGTTTCTCTGTCTACATGTGCCCCTTGTACGCCCACGTGCCCCCCTGTGCATGCAGGTGTGTTTGCCCCCCCCGTGTGAGCAAATTCAGAGGTGCCCCTGCACCCACGCGGGCCCTGCCTGCTGTGCCCACCCCTGTGTCCCCTCTAAACCCTCCCCAATTTCTCTTTCCTCCAACTCTGCCCCACAGAAGAGGAGTCAACTGAGCTGACATCCCAGGTGAGGGCCTGCCTGGCCACCCACCTCTCATCAGGGCTGGCCTGGCCCCAGCCTCTGGCTGGGGGTCCCCGGGAGCCCTGGGACCCTCCAAGGTGGCGATGGCTCAGGAAGGAGGGAGGCCACTTTATATGTGATGTCCCCTCTTATCCACAGACGTCTTCACCCAGCCAGTCATCCCTCAGGGAGAAGAGCGGCACCCCGAGGAAGAGGAAAGCCCCTCTGCCTCCCTTGGGCACCCTCAGCCAGGTGAGAGGGGTCCCCCCTTTAGCTCCACGTCCGCACCCGGCGTGGCAGGCCCAGCGTAGCCAAACTGTGGCTGGCTCAGGAAAACTTCTCCAGCTTCACCCCCGCTCTGCAGCGGAGGTGATGCTCACGGACTGTCCTGAGCTGCAGCAGAGGCTTTATCCCCACTCCTGGGGTGCATGCAGCACCCCAGGCCCTGAGCCCCTGCTGTTGGCAGGTCAAGGGGTATCAGCCCGTTTCTATCCATCCTGTGGGCCCAAAACACCCCTTGTCTGGGGGGGCTGTGCTGATGTTGGGGGGTCCATGCCCTGCCAGAGCTTTTCCTTCTCTCTCTGGTGTCAAAAAGGACCCTGCACACCCCAGAGTGTGGCTTGGCCGTGGGGGCACATGGTGCTTAGAGAGCAGCCGCTGAGGCTGGGTGGGCTCAGCCTGCCACAGCCCCCCTGGAGAGGGTGGGCAGGAGGGGGCCGACAGCGAGGAAGGGGCTGGCGGTGCCGGGCCCTGAGGTTTGGCAGCCGCTCATCTGCAGGAGGACCGGGACGCCTACGAGGAGATCGTGCGGCTGCGGCAGGAGCGGGCCCAGTTCTTGCATAAGATCCGAGGCTTGGAGCAGCAGGAGAAGCAGAGACGGGAGGTACCAGCGAGCTGCAGGGTCACTGGGGAGATGCCACCGCGTCCCTCGGGAACGGAGGGGACGGGAGGGGTGGGGACAGCATTTATCCCTCTCTGTTTTCTGTGTCCTGGTAGAGGGCAGAGCTGGACGAGGGCTCCCTGCGCTCCATGGAGAAGCAGGTGAGGCCAGCGAAGAGGTCACGGGTGGCCTCGGCCCTCTGGGGGGTCCTGGTGCCGGGGGTGCCATCGGGACTCCGGAGGGAGTAAAAGGGGCCCCCTCCCCATGTCCTGCCCCACAGATCCAGGAGCTGGAGAAGCGGCTGGCGGCACGGAGTGGTGAGAAGGAGCAGCTGGGCAAGGAGGTGGAGGCTCTGCGGAGCCGCTTGTCCTCGCTGGAGGTAGGTGCAGGGAGCAGCTGGCAGTGCCAGGGGCTGGGGTGCGCGGGGGCTGATGCCTGCCGCTCTGCACGCCCAGAACGAGAGGGAGAACACGAGCTATGACATCGACACACTGCAGGACGAGGAGGGAGACCCGCTTGATTTCCCAGGTAGAGCCCTGCTCACCTCCCGTGGGGCCGGGCAGCCTTTGGCAAGGGGGCTCCCCATGGCTGTTGGGGAGTGGGGGGCACGGCTGGGCATGGCACTGGGGTCCCTGCAACCCCACAGGGGCAGAGCTGCTGCTCTCCAAGAAGACGCTGAGCCCCTCAGCCGAGGAGCTGCTGGCCACGCTGCAGGGGCAGGTGCAGTCCCTCACCGTGCAGAACAAGGAGCTGAGGGAGAAAATACAGGCAAGTCCCTGTCCGTCCGTCTGTCCCTCCCTGCCTCCGTCCCCTGGCCCTTGGTGGTGTCACCGTCTCCTCGGCAGGTGCTGGAGAACTACGAGCGGGACGAGAGCAGTCCGTCCACCCCGGGGGACTTCGTGCCCGCCAGCCGATACAACGCTCTCCAACGCGAGCTGGAGCGGCTGCGGGCGCAGCGCTTGGAGCTGCCGCGGGGCACGGGCGCGAGGGACGAGGCCGGCGGGCAAGCGGCGCGGCAGAGCGGTGTCTCGGAGCAAGCCCCGGAGCTGGCGGAGGCCCGGGCAGCCCTGCGGCAGGCGCAGGCGGCGCTGGAGGAGCGGAACCGGCGGGTGAAGGAGCTGCAGACCCGGTTGGAGCGCGGCGCGGCGACCGGCTCCCTGGGGGCCTCCCTGGAGGAGGCGTCGAGGGAGAAGGAGGTTTTGCTGGAGCGCTGCGGCCGGGCGGAGGCGGAGGCGGAGGCCCTGCGGCGGGAGCTGGAGGCCAAGGCACGGGACTGGCGAGCGGCGGGCGGCCCCGAACCGGAGCCGGGGGTGCTGGAGCGACGGGTGGCAGAGCTGGTACGGCAGCACGAGGAGGTGACGGCCCAGCTGGGGCAGCTGCGGGAGACGCTGGGTCGCAGGGAGGCCGAGCTGGGCACCCTGCGGGAGCAACTGGCCGCCCGGCCGGTGGGCCGGCGGGAGCACGAGGAGGCCCTGGCGCGGCTGCGGCAGGCGCAGGCGGAGGCGGAGGGCCGGGTGCCGCGGGAGGAGCACGCCCGGGCTACGGCGGCGCTGGAGGAGCAGGCGCAGGCGCTGCGGGAGCGGGCGGCTCGGCTGGAGGCGGCGGCGGAGGCCAAGGGGCGCGAGGCCGCCCGGCTGGAGGCCGAGCTGGCGGCGGCCGTGCCGCGGGGAGAGCACGAGGCGGCGCAGGCGGGGCTGCGGGCCGAGGCGGCGGCGCTGGCCCAGCGGCTGGGCGAGCTTTCGCGGCAGCACGAGAAGACGTGCGAGGAGGTGTTCCGGGTACAGCGGCAGGCCCTCTTCATGAAGAGCGAGCGGCAGGCGGCGGAGGAGAGGCTGGCCGCCGCGCAGAAGCAGCTGGCGGAGGCGCAGGACGAGGCGCGGCGGCTGCGGGAGCTCCACGGACGCGCCGAGGAGTCGGCCCGGCTGGTCAGGGAGAGGGACAGGAAGGTAGGGGATGGGGACGAGGTGCTGGGGGGGGGGGGGGGGGTTGGCGAGGGGCTCCTGGGAGGGGAAACGGTGGCCTGGGCGCTGCTCGGGCGAGCTGAGCTGCCCAGGTCACAGGGGAGATGAGCTCGCAAACGTGAACATGCGTGCACACGTTCGTGTGCACGCACGTTCATGCCCACACGCCTAGACGTGCATGGGTGTACATGCATGTGCACACACGAGTGCACGTGCTTGCACACACTTGCACGCACCTGCACGTAGATGCACGCTTGCACACGTAAGTGCCCACACGGACACACACACGCGCACCCCTGCCTGCGGACTCTCCCGGCTCTTCCCCTTTTTTCTTCCCCAAGCCGAGACGGAGACCCGGGGACAGAGGGAGTGGGGTGGGAAAGCCCCCAGGGGGGTTGGGGCTGAGGGGTCCCTGGGTGCCTGTAACCTCTCTGCGCTGTGCAGATCACCGAGCTCTCTAAGGAGGTCTTCAGGCTGAAGGAAGCCCTGAACGCCCTCCCCGAGTCCCGGGGACCATCCAAGTCAGCCCCCAACACTGCCACGCTCCAGGCCAGGATCCGGGCGCTGGAGGAGAAGCTGGCGGTGGGTACCGGGCGGGGGGGGGGGGGGTGGGTCTTGTGGCCATCGCCTGGTGGGTTCTGGGCTTCCACAAGCCCCCGGCCCTGTGCTCAAACCCACTCGGCTCTCTTGCAGGAGGCAGAAATGCGGCACAGCAAGGTGGTGACGCTGTACCGGAACCACCTGCTCTACGCAGTGCAGGTGAGATGGGGACGTGGCTGGGGGAAAACTGGGGACACCAGTATGGGGGTCACACCTTGGTGCCCACGTGCACGTGGGAGGCAGCAAGGGGCTGGATCCGGGTGCCAACCCGTGCACAGAAACTCCCTGATGTCCCCTCTGTTGTCCCCACCAATGTCCCCTCCGCCCCAGGGCCACATGGACGAGGACGTGCAGAAACTCCTGTGCCAGATCCTGAGGATGCAGCGGCTGCAGGAGCAGGGCAGATGAGCCCCTGCCAGCACGGCAGTGCCGCAGGGGGTCGGTGGCACAGCCGGTGACACGGCTGGGGGGCCAGGCCCGTGATAGCACCCTCTGTGCCCCTTTGCTTCTCCCTGTCACTGCCACACGCACCCCCACACCCCCCCCCAGCCCTCCTGCTGCCCCCCACACCTCAGCACAGCAGCAATAAAGTATTTATACTCACGCCAACGGGACGGCTCGTCTCTGGGGTGGGCACAGGGACACGGGTGCTGGGGGCTGTGGAGGGGAGGCTGGCGGAGCTGGGGACAGTAGGGGATCGGTGCCATCATCTCCTCCAGCCCCGATGTCCCCAGAGGGGAGCGGGTGACCATGAAGGAAAAGCGGTTGTGGCGTGGGAAAGGTTGAAACCCTCTTGGCCAGAGCCAAAACCGTTTTCCTGCGGGTCCGGAGCAGGCGGAGGCCCCGTGCGTGGGGATCCCTGCGGAGCCACGCTGGGCGGTGGGTCCCCACTGGGGACGGCGTTTCCTGCGCGAGGAAATGGGCTGAGGCCGACCGGGGCTGCGGCTTCCCGCACCAGCGGTGACAGAGCCTCTGGTCCCAGATGCCTGGCCCTGCTGCGGTGAGCGTGACGGGGGACAGGGCTCCCCAGGGGGCTGGGGGCGTAGGGGGGTGTCGGGGGAGCTAGGGGTGGCCCCACAGCGCCGTGGGGACACAGTGGGCAGCCCCTTGGCCGTGATCCGGGGAAAGCCAAGCATGTCCCCGCCACGGGGCTGAGCCAGCCTGCAGCCAGGGTGAGCGATGACAAGGGCAGGATCTGTCCCTGTAGTGCTGGGCTTGACCACAGTGAGGAGCTCAGCTCAGCCCCCAGGCTGGGTTTTGGGGGGGGGGGGGGGTGTCTCTGTGAGGGACAGTCCTTCCCCATGTGCCCTGGGAGGTGGGGGCCATCCAAGGGTGCTGGCTCCTTCCCTGGACAAGGTCCAGAGTGACCCGAAACTCTAATTTTGGGCACAGGACCGCGGGGGTGGCTGCAGGTCCCCGTGGGAAACCCCGGTCACGCAGGGTGCTTGCACGCCTGGCTCTGTCCCCGCTCCTTCCTGGCAGCAGGATCCGGCCGCTCCGGCGAGAAACTGTCCCCTGTCCCCAGGGGATGTGTCAAGGCCAGAGGGGAAACTGAGGCACAGCACTGTGGGGTGGCCTGGAGAGGAATTCGAGCCCTCGGCTTTAGGGCGATGTCCCTGGTTCTCCTGGGGACCTGTGGCTGTGGTGTCCCTGCTGTCCCCTGCCCTGGGGTTTGACCGTTCTGCCTGTCCCCACAGGTCCCTGGATCCGGGCAGCTCTGCTGAATCTCTCTGACATGAAGTGGCTTTGGGTGGTGGCTTTTGTGGCCCCCGCCTGCACCGTTCCCTACAACAGCACGGCGGGCAGCGCCGGAGATGGGGACAATGGGGACAGAGGTATGGGGGCATGAGGGACTGGGGATGGGGAGACTGGGGCAGCTGGGATGAGGGTATGGGGGGACCTGGGGAGACGGGTGGGCTGGGGACAGAGATATGGGGTGTGGGGGACCGGGGAGGGACTGGGGGGGCTGGGGTAGAGGTATGGGGGCATGGGGGACTGGGGATAGAGGGACTAGGGGTCTGGAATGGAGGTATGGGGGGATCTGGAGGGACTGGAGGCAGAAGGACTGGGCAGACTGGGAGCACTGGGGATGAAGATGGAGGGGCCCTGAGGGGACTGGGGACACTGAGGGGACCGAGAATAGAATTACAGGTCATCTGAGGATAGAGGTGTAGGGACACAGGAGGGATCAGGGACATGGCGGGGACTGGTGATGGAGGAATAGGGACACTGGGGGCCTGGGGACATGAGGGGACTGAGGACAGAGGCGTAGGGGCTGGGGGCACTGGGGAGAGAGGGTCACCGGGGTGCTGAGAACGGGGCTGGGGGACCCAAAGAAGCACAGACCCTTCCTGACTCTGTGTCATCCCCTACTACTCCCGGCCCCCGCCACGGCGTGTCCCCTTGACCCCCCCCTCCGGGGACCACAGCGGGGAGATGGGGGGTGGTGGTCGTGGTGTTTGTGCCATGCCCACTGCCATGTCCCCCAGGCCGCTGCGCCCTGCAGCATGGCACCCTGGGCACCGAGGTGCTGCTGCAGTGCCCGGGCGCAGCGGGGGGGTCGGCTGAGTGGCGCCGGGGGGGGACGCTCCTGGGAATGTACCCTGCCCCGGGGCTAGCCCTCCCCAACGCTAGCCTGGCCCACGAGGGCCACTACAGCTGCCACCACCCTGCCACCGGTGACACCTTGGCCACTGTCTGCCTGCGGCTGGGCTGTGAGTGAACCGGGCTGCCCCCCGCCCCCCCCCCCCCCCTCCCCCCGTGTGGCCCCCGCTGCCAGCTGGGGGTCCCCTGGGGGAGGCTGGCAGCGGGGTGATGCCCGTCCCCTGCCCCAGATCCCCCCACACTGCCTGCCCTCGAGTGCTGGGCCATCAGCTACCCGCAGGCAGTGAACTGCTCCTGGGTCCTGGCCCCCGAGCCGCTGCTGGACACCGACTTCGTGGCCACGTACAGGTCAGTGGGGGCTGAGCTCCCCCCTGCCCCGTGCCTGCGTCGCACGTGGGGCTGCAGGACGGGCGGGCTGCCCCTCACCCAGCTTCCCCCCCTCTGCCCCCCCAGGCATGGCATGTGGGGGGCCGCCGAGACGGGCGAGTGCGTCCGCACAGGCCCGCGGAGCTGCTCTTTCGGGGACCTGCAGATGTTCTCCCTCACCCCCTACGTGGTGAACCTGACGGCCGTGAACCCCCTGGGCGCTGCCTCCAGGCTCCTGCCCTTCCTCCTGGAGAACATCAGTGAGTGCCTGGATCCCCTCCACCCCCCCCACCCTCCACAGACCCCTCGGACTTAACCCCCTACGTGGGATGTGGAAACATCTGTGCGATGATTTGCTGGGTCTTAGGCCACCTCTGCAGCCCAGATTGAGCAGCTCAGTCGGTGTTGCTGTCCCCAGCAACATGGTGTTGCTGTCCCCAGCGGCCCCGTGACGGATCCCCCCCCAGCCAGCACCTCGCTTCTTCATTGTCTCCCTTCTTCGTTAGTAAAGCCAGACCCCCCCGAAAACCTCCGGGTCTCACCCATCCCCGGGGAGACCAAGAAGCTGCTGTTGGAGTGGAGCCCGCCAGGGTCCTGGCCCTTCCCGGAGTACTTCCCGCTGAAGTATCGCATCCGCTACACGCAGGAAGAGGGCTCTGTCACCAAAACGGTACTGCCTATCCCCCGCTGCGTCCCCCCCACTCCCACGCAGGGTAAACTGAGGCACAGCCGAGGGCGAGCTGTGTCCTGGGCCCATGGGTGCCCCTAACCCCGCGCTACCCGCAGGTCGGGCCATACGAGCAGACCTCTTACACCCTGACGGGAGTGCAGCCCGGGACCCTCCACCGCATCCAGGTGGCCGCCAAGGACCTCACGGACTCCGGGGAGTTCAGCGCCTGGAGCCTGCCGGCCTCGGGGACGCCCTGGACCGAGCCGTGACGGGCAGAGCGGGGCCAGCGGCCCCTTCCCCACCCCGCTCCTCTCCCTCCGCCCGCCGAGGGACCCCACACCCCCCAGCCGCTCTTGTCCCCAAGGCCCCAGCACTGGAGGGACCCTCCAGAAACAGGCAATAAACCAGCTTGAGGTCCCCGTTTTTTGATGTTCTCCTTTTGACGTTCATCTCAGCTGCCCCTGGGGACGGTCCCTTCGCTGGCCGAGCCGGCCCTGGCCGTGGGGAGGGGGAGGAGGGCACAGGTTCCAACTGGCCCCGAACACCTCAACTGGTCCATATGGTCCAGATCGGTCACTTCGCCCCCTCCCCAAGGGCCTTGGCTGGTCCCTGCGGCCCCGCCACGGCCCCCCGCCAGCCCTGCACGGTCCCCGTGGCCTCTGTCCCTGGCCTCAGGTGGTCTCTAGGACCCCCAGGCTCGGGCCCGGCCTCCGGGCGACCTCCCGGGGCCCGCCCGTCTCCCCCGGACCCCCCCCCCCCCCATTCTGGTCGCCGCGGGCGGGCTCTTGGCGACCTGCAGCAGCTCGCTGACGGACGGCAGAGACAGCCAGTAGCAGACGAGGATCCGCCCGTCTCACCAATGAGAGGCGGAGGGGGGCGGGGATACTTCCGGGAAGCGGCGGCTGGGCCGCGGGGCTGAGGGTGGGCGGCCATGTCGGGGCGGGAGGTGTTGGGCCTGAGGGGGGGGCACCCTGCTCTGGGTGGGGGTGTGGGGGGGGTTTCCCCAAGGTGAGGAGCTGTTTAGCGCTTCCCAGGTTGGAGGAGTTCCTGATGGCTTGGCGGGGGGGTGTCTCAGGCTGACCGTGGGTCCCAGGCTGGTTTGGCCCTTGAGAGCGTCCTGGTTAGTGTGGGTGGGCTGGCTCTTGCTGGGGCTGGCCCCCGAGGCTGCGGGGAGCCTGCCTGCCACGGTTCACACCGCTCTGGGGGCCTGCACCCAGCACACACACGGCTCTGCCCTCTCTGTAGAAATACTACCCGCCGGACTTCGATCCTGCTAAGATCCCGAAGCTCAAGCTCCCGAAGGACCGACAGTATGTGGTGCGGCTCATGGCCCCCTTCAACATGCGGTAAGAGGGGCTGAGCGGGAATTGTGTCACCTCCAGCTGCAGGGGAGCTGCTGCCCGCAGCCGTTAGAGGTGACCCAGACCAGGAGAAACGGGGTGAGGGAGAGGGAAGAGGTGCTGTGGGTGATTTTGGGGTTGTCTGAAGAGTAGGGGCTGAATTTCCAAATAACCGTTGCTCAGAACCTGCGCTGACACGGCCCAAAACTCATTTGGACTTTTATTGGTCTTTTCGTTCTTTTCTGTTGATGTGTTATGGACTTCTCTTTCTTCTTTTTTAGTTGCAAGATGTGTGGTGAATAAATTTCTAAGGGGAATGCCCTTGAGGAGGCTGTTGAGAATGAGGTGTACTCCGCACATCATCCACTTCTGTGGTGCCTGGCAGAGGTCACTCTCAGGGTGACGTGTTTTCTGGGCAGGTTGCAGGTCTGCAGACTCCACTGAGCCCTGGAAGCACGGGGTCTATCCGTACTTCCTGGGAGCGTCATGTCCCATCAAAGACTGAATGTGAGCGTGTGCTCTTTGGTGTCTTTTCCCTTTTTGTGGCAGTTCATAGTTCTGCCCATGGGCAGGAAGCAGCTGCGCATCAGCTGGAGGACGAAGGGAGGTGGGTGTGGGTCTGCACTGTGGCGTGAGTGAAATTGTGAAATGTTCTGGAGCTACAGAAGTGGTGACAGGATGGCTGGAGCTGAATTTGACGTTGCTGTCCTGCATTTTCCTTAGATCTTGAGAACACCACGGAGCAGAGAGCTACTTGCAGCCTGCAAGCTGAGAAAGCCGTGGAGGGAGAGAAGATGATGCAGAAGGAGAGAAAATCCCTTGCAAAAAAATCCCTGGGGCAGTGCGGAGGGTGGCAGGGCACTGCCTGGTCCTCTTCAAAGCCCAGTTGAGGCCCCAGGGAGCTCTGGAGTGCAGAAAGGTCTGGTCTGGAGCACAGTTAAGACTGGCCTAAGCCCTGGAGCTCTCTGGACAGCTTGCAGACCTTGGTTTTACCCAATCTGACCCCGGGGCTCTCCGGAGAGCAGCGGGACAGCTTGCAGACCCGGGTTTTGCCCTTCCTGAGCCCCGGGGCTCTCCGGAGAGCAGCGGGACAGTTTTCAGACCCGGGTTTTACCCGGTCCCGGCGCTCGGCGGGACCCGGCCGGGCCCCCTCATGCTGTGACACAGCGGGGCCGCCAGGCGGTGCTGTTCGCACATGCGCAGCGCTGGCCGCTCCGTCCCGTGGATGAGGGGCGCTTCGCGCACGCGCAGGGCGGGCCGGCGGACCCGCCCTCACGTGATCCCGGGCGGACGGCGCATGCGCACGGCGTCCCGCCGCGCCGGGGCTGCCGTCCTCCTCCTCCCGCAGGCGCCATCTTGGGTCCCGGGGGTGCCGGGAGCTGTAGTCTGCCGCAGGGCGTTGACCATCGCCTCAGGAGCTGTCGTCTGGCGTAGTCTCCGAACTCCTCTTGTCCTCACAGATTCCCTCACAAAGCCCTCATTTTTTTTCCTCAAAGCCACCTGTTCTCCCTTCTGGCCCCTTCAGCACCTCCCTCCTTCTGTCACAAGCTCTGCTGAGTTCTTCCTTGTGCCCCACACCTGTCTTTTAGCCCTTTGGATCCCTCTTGTCCCCTCAGGACCCCCCCGAGGGCTTTTTTTTGTGCCTCAGAGCAGTTTTTGACCCCTGTGCTATCTAGGATGACTACTCAGTCCCTTGCCCTGTGGTGACGCCTGTACTCTGCTCAGATCCCACCTGGAGCTCACTCTTTCCCCAGGGAAGGGAACATGAGGGCCACCAACAGCTTTCAGTCCCGGCTTGCTCTGTGTGGGACCCTGAGGTGGTAGGTCTGCGTTTTGGACCTGGACTTTGGTGAGGGTAAGCGTTAGGTGACAGAACAAGCACAGAGCCCCCGAGCACCCTCACCCTTGCCCCAGCACAGCCCTTTTCCAGGGCGCTCAGGAAAAGGTCCCTGCTGACCTCCAGTGTTCCCCAGGGCCTTTGCCAGACTTTGCCGGTACCTGCAAGGAGCCCTGCTTCTCTTCAGAATTCCCTGAGTCCCTTTCCACATTTAGCCAAAGTCTGGGCAGTGCTCTCCTGCCCTTGAGAGAGCCCTTGGGCTTTCTCTGGGCTTTGCCAGGGACCCGGAGCCTTGTAGCCCTCCACAAAGCCCTGGAGCTTTCACTGGGCTCTACCATGACCTGGAAGGAGCTGTGCATCTTTCCAGAGTTCTCCAAATCCTTTGCCAGGCGTTGCCAGGATGTAGGCAAAGTCCTGCTGCCCTCCAGATTTTTTTGGCACTTTCACCAGGATTTGGAGGGGCCTGGGCAGTGTCCTCTGCCCTTCAGAGAGCCCCAGAGCCTTCAGTTCGCTTTGCCGGGGCCTGAGCTGTGTTTGCCGTCCTTAAAGGGCGTTTGGGAGAAGGGCTCGTTCATCTCGTGCAGTGAAGTTCCATCTTGCTCCAGCTGATGGCACGATTGGGAGCATGTAGAGCAGAGATTTTTCCCAGGAAGATAGACGACATGTTGGACAGAGCCCCAGTTCTCCCGCTCGAGTATTTGATACTGTGCAGCGTGGGTCTAGCCTCGCACCATGCCACTATTCCTACCAATAATGAGTTCAGAGGAGAGCCTGTTTCTTATAAAATGAGAAAATAAATACAAGCCAGGCCAAGTCACTAGGTCAGAGATGAGACAAGAGTTATCTGCAGGACAAGCAACCAGCAGTTTGAGGCTGTAAAGGACTTCCAGCCATAGGAATAGGCTCCCACCAGCAGGAGTTAACGGTATGTCAGTCCACAGGAGAGCTTCCTTCCATAGCACATGTGTGTTTGAGGCAATAATCCCTCCAGGGTTTCAGCTCCTTCTGTGTCTGACTTACAGCTGTGTAACCTTCCAAACACACAGCAAAGGCATTTTTCTCTGGGAAAGTGTCAGATCCCTTTGGCCTCATGCTGACAATCGGCCATTGTGTGTCCATTCAGTGATCCAAAGCACACTAAGAGAGACTCCAAACTGGCTGGTCTGAACACCTGGGCTTTCCTGGTGCAATTGGATAAGCTGAACAAGCCTTTGAGTTAATACCATGGTGTATGGAGTGAAATAGGTTCTCTGCGATGGGAAGTCTGTGCAGTTTAGAGCAACTAATGGGTCAGTAAGTAACGTCTAGATTAGGAATGTGTGTTTACAATGTCTTGCAATGGCAAAAATTGATTACACGTATGGGGACAAAAGTCCGCCTCCTGATTTTCTTTGCATTTTGTGGATTCTGCGGTTTGAGCAAGAAAAAAAAAATATTTATATTACTTATTTGAGGAAGGCAGAGTTGCTTAATACTTAAAAGCCAAGACCAATTATTTTTCTTCCTGGCTCCATCACTTGTATCACAGTGTGACCTTAGGAAGGACATCAGCTTTGCTGCGAAATTTCCTTATCTCCAGTGTGATGATAACTACTAATACCTCACAGGATGCTGGAGTGGAACTAGTTAATATTCAAAAAGATCTTTAAGCTTTTTGTTGATTCAGATCTTAATAAAGCCATTGCTTGCAAACAAGGTTTGCTTTCTAAAATCAATTTAAAACAGGATAAACTGCACATTTTTTTCTAAAATGTGATGGCAAAATTATGAGAGCTTTTATAGGGTGGTTTCTGTCATCTGAATGTTATGTGTAGTTTTTGTTTATTTTCTCTTCATACCTTCTTAATAAGAAATCTTTGAATTTGGATTCTGATTTAAAAATGTCCTTGGCAGGGCAGTTTTTTATTGTTACCTGGCAGCTCTCAAAACTTTCACAGATGTTTCTCCATCATTTATATTCAGATTCTATTTCTTCAGTTTTTTTCTGTAACCAAAATACACTACATTATTAATTTCTTTATGGAAGTTGAGTTTTTGGAATACGAAGCAGCGACCTGAGGCAGTTGGTGTGTGCTCAGTTATCGTATTTCCATAGCTGGAACAGTATACCTCTCTGGGAACATGAGAACAGACGCAACTACAAGACCAGCCCTCAGTCAATGAAACCGCGGACCAAAGTTTCATGTGATCCTTTTCCAGCAGGTACAGATTGTCTCGGAGCATGTTGTGGATGGGACCTGCATGAA